GTCCAGCTCAGCCCATCCCTGAGATCTAGTTTGGGCAATTACTGTCCTTTCCTAACAAATAAGAGGAGAGCAGGGGCAATAGGGTGTGATGTAAAGAACCCTGGAGAGGGAGTTCAGAGAATTCTCTTCTGGTTTTGGCACTAGCTGATGTAGCAAGGGACCACAAAAGAGGTAAGGGGTGGCAAATGCCAGAAAAGCCAAACCACTATGACCACCACCATGTCCCTTCAGATCCCAATGGAGTCAGCCAAAGATCTGAGCCCAAGAGCCCTGGTAGTAGCAACGTATTCCCCTCTCCCCCAAGATCACCAGTCCTAATTCCAGCTCAATCCCAATGAAGCCACCATGCAGGGAATTAACCCTTATGGAGATGTGACTTAGCCACCCTCTACCCTTCTCACCAGCCAAAGCTACTGATCTGGAAAGAAAAATTCAGGCCACCAAAGTCCCTGGCACTGTCAAATGATTCAACATCAAAGTGGAAATGGTTTTATCAGTGGAAATGACACTGTAGATGTATTTCTATCTTCTTTGCTGCTGTGCCCATGGGGCCTTCCCATCTCACTTGCAGCTGAAATCTTCCACACATGTCGTCTCGACTTTAGAATGTGGGGGCTTGGGGGAAGGGACTGGCTTGCTCATTTTCTATTTGCATCCCCAGCATTTATCCGGTGCTTTGCACATAGTAAGCACAATAAATGCTTTCTCATCCACTCACTCACAAATTCATTCTGTGGCCTTAGATAAGTCACATCTCCCTTTCCTGGGCCTAAGCTTCCTTTTTTGTAAAATGAGGGGGTTAAATCAGAATCCAATTCTGTTACTATGATTCTAAGCAGCTCTTAGTTCAGAAAGAAATAACCTTAAACAAACAAACAAAAAAAGAAAAAAACTGGTGATAGACTGACCAGCTTCATCAAGTTAAATCAACGAATTTATACTAGTGCTGGGTCTCCAGATCTCTTACAGGGAGGAAGGAGACAGGGGCTGAGATTTCACACAGCCAAGGGTTTCTCTCCCCTCACCTCCTATACTAATAGCTAATATTTATATAGTGCCTACAGTGTGCCAGGTACCGTGCTAAGCACTTCACAATTTTATCCATTTGCTCCTCACAACGACCCTGTGAGGGAAGTGCTATTATTCTCATTTTACAGATGGGGAAACTGAGGCAAATAGGTCAAGTGACTTGCCCAGAGTCACACAGCTAGTATCTGAGGTAGGATGTTAACTTAGGTCTTTCTGATTGTTGGGCCAGCTATTAACTGTGACACCTAATTCCTTGTCTTGTTCCTTGTTGGGCCTGTCTGCAGAATGGGAAAGTGAGAATAATCACTATAATAATAAAAATTAAAAAAATAATAATAATAGTATTTATATAGCACTTTAAGGTTTGCTGAGTACTTTACAAATATGATCTCATTTGACGCTCACAACAATTTGGGGGGTGGGGCAAGTACTGTTATTATTCTCATTTTACAGATGGGGAAACTGGGGCAGAGGTTAAGTGATTTGTTCAGAGTCACACAGCTAGTAAGAGTCTGAGACAGGATTTGAACTCAGGTCTTCCTGACTCCAGGTCTAGCACTTTGGCCAATGAGAGGGGCCTTTAGTCCAGGCTAGGAAAGTTTCCCAATAACGACTTTTTTTGGTGGGGAGGGGTCCCAGACCTGTGGTTTCCCTAGTATAAGGAACTCTTGGTGAGGAACCTCTTCCTATCAATACAGATCAATATATCACCTCCGCAACATATCACCTTAGAGAGTTTAGGCCTGTGACATCCAGTGTCACACAGTCAGCATGCACTAGAGGCCAGCTGTCCCTCCATGCTGCCTCTCATCGTAACAGCTGACATTTTAATAGTGCTTTATCATCTCGCTGAATCCTCATGAGGGTATTGTGATCCAATTTACAGAATCGTAAATGCTACAGCCGATTTTGTCTACAAACCTCCACCTGCTCATCCTGCCTTTCCTACTAACAAGAATTTTCTTTTTTTTTCCCCAGTTAAAGTTAAGCAAGCTAAAAAAAAAAGTCCCCAAAATATTACAACAGTTTGGAAAAGAACTGACAGTGTTTTAGGTTCCATAGTGTAAGTTAAAATCACAGAATGTCATGAGAAGCAGTTCCCTGGAACCAGGGAAGACGGTAAAAGATCCCAGATCTCTCAAGGTGGTAAGTTTTCTCCACCTTAGAACACTCACCAGCCAGGTGACCATGGAAAGGTCACAATTCTTCTTGGAGGCAACAGCTGTAATAACTTCTTCATTGGTTGTTATATGTCACATAGGTCAAATGAAAGTATATGTAAAGGGCTTCTAGAGCCTTCTGCTTCTGTAAATTATGTCTGCTTCTAGGATCATAGGTTCATAGGTCAGAAGGTCAGAAGGTCCAACTTGTTCATTCTCCTGACAAGAAAACCATGGCCCATGGAGGTTAAGGTCCCACAGGTAACCTTGACAGACCTAGGATTTGAACCCAGGCCCTGTGACTTTAGGGGACCTTAGGACAAAGGCTGCTACATATTATGTTAAAAGAGAAAACATGTTCTACTCTCTAACCAGATTTTAACATATGGGCTCATTACCCTTTCCAAAATAGCTTCTTACCTTCCCATTACATGAAGAAGAAAAAAATGGCCACCATAATAATAGCTTGCATTTGTATATCACTATATCCTTCATCTCCTCTGATCCTCACAACCTTGTCAGGTACATAGTAGGACAACTCTTATTTACCATTTAAAGATGAGGAGGAAGATGAGGCTCTGACATAAAAAGGGATTTTCCCAAGGTCCCACAACACACCTAAGACATGGCAGAATCAAATGACGTTGCCAGGTCTCTCTGGGTGCCAGGTCCAAAGCTCCTTATATTGTGACTCCACTGCCTCTCATGTGCAGACGAAGTCTTAAGTGCTTTATTATGATTTGTTTCCTGTGGCCCCGTGACAGAAGAATAGTGCAATACAAGACAGCCTGGAGCAGGGAAAACTCAAGGGGCATGCGAAATGCCTTCAAGTATTTGAGATGTTGTCATAGGGAAGAGGGATTAAACTTACTCTGGCCACAGAGACAGAATCAGGAGCACGAGGTGGATGTTTCACAGAAACAAATTTAAGCTTGAGGTTGGGAAAAAGTTCCTAATGAGGAAAGCGGAGTGAGCTGCCTAGGAAGTAGTGAGTTCCCCCTCACTTGAAACAGAAAGACTTGTTGTGTATGTTACGGAGGAAATTTATTTTTTCAGACATAGGCTAGATGGCACGGGCCCCCCTGATCCCTTCCAACTCTGAAATTCTATGATTCTCAATTCATAGCCCAAACCTTTCATTTTACAGATTAAAAAAAGGGGGCCTGGAGAGGGGGAAATAACTTTCCTAAAGTCAGAAAGTGAGTTAATAGTAGGGTCAAAGCTCTTGGTTCCTATCCCAATGCTCTTTCCAACGTCACACCCCTTAATCTGAATGGGGAAAAAAAAATTTGAACAAGCTTAAAAGCAGTGGAGGAATGCAAACTGAAACAAGCCTGAGGTTTCACTTCACACCTTGCAAATTAGCAATGATGACAAAAGGTGAGAAGATAGGCATACTAATATATTGTTGGTGGATCTGTAAGTCAGTACAATAATTTTAGAAAAGAATTTGGAACTATGTAAATAAAGTGACCAAGCTATCCATACCCTCTGATCTAGAGATTCCTCTATTAGGTTTATCCTCCAAGGAGGACATGGCTAAGAAGAGAGTCCCCATACACACCAACACACTTACAGCAGCACTTTTTTGTAAGAACTGGAAAGAAAGAAGATGCTCATTGGGGAGTAACTAAAGAAATTGTGGCACATGAATATTATGGAATATGACTGTTCTGCAAGAAATGATGAGTGATGAATACAGAGAAGCATGAAAAGACCTACATGAACTAACAGATGCAGGGGGAAATAAGCAGAAACAAAGAAAACAATATGCAAAAATGGTTGCAACAATATGAATAGAAACAACCACCGCAAAAGTGAATGCTGCAAAATTACAAAGAATAAGCACAACTCAAATGAAGAGATGGGAGAAGACACCTTTAACTCACCTATTTGCAAAGATCGGAGGTCTACCACTATTGTACGTGGTACATATTTTCAGATTTTTTTCATTGTACTGATCAGTTATGCTGAAATTTTTCCTCTGTTTTTTTTTTCTTTGAAAAATGCTATTATATGCAAAGCCTCTGGGGTGGGAGGAACTAGGGGAGGGTTTCTAGAAATTACAGTGACATTAAAAAAACACATTAATAAAAACATATTTTTTAAAAAACAGAAGCCATGGAGTAGAGGTTCCTCGGAGGCCATGGGGCCTCGTGGTATCTTCCTCAAGATTAGGCTCCCAGTGAGACCTCAAAGGGCACAAAGTAGTCAATGAGAATGGAATGAGCCTCCAGCTATCCTGCTCTTTCTTCCACATTTAATAAACTACCCAAATGACAAGAGTAATTTCCCTCAAAATGAAAAATAATACATTTGAATACCATAGAAAATTTGCAATGCCATCATAGATCCTTAGCACTAGAAAGGCACTGAGAAATCAACATGTCCAATCTCCTGTCTGCCAGCTGAAGACAATGACTTTAGACTCAAATGGCACGTCTATTTGATGTACACATTTCTATTTGCCATCATGCTAAGGAAGTCTTTTTCTCTTCAACAATTCCATATTTGTCCAAGCCCAGGGCCAAAGCGTTTTGTGGCATGCTTCCAAGCACGGTGGGGTACAAGCAGTCCAAAAAGGCAAGCCCGTAGATTTAAGATCCCTTCTTTAGGGTATTCCAGATCATCATTTCTTCTCTCCTTGTACACTACCAGTAAGAAAGGGTGCCACCTAGAAAATAAGGCCTTCACTCTCATAAAAGTCACATGATTTCATAGTAGAAGTAAGCTGCATCTCAGACTCAGACTCATGATACTGTCAAAAATAGCATGTAAAAGCATTAGTATTTGATGAGACCAAACACAGCATTGGCTCATGGGAAAAAAGAAAAAAGAAAAATCCAGCAATTGTTTATTCCTCTCAATAACTTGGCAAACAAATTACCAGGCAATAATGACACTTGGTTCCATTCACCCCCTGGCTTTCTCTCTATAAATACAGGCTCCCGTTCCCATGCTCACTACAAAAGGCTGGACCATTCAGCTGTCAGGAGGATCTGACTCTACCATTGAAACTATTCCTAGGTCATCAAAAAGCAAAATGAGGATCCCCTGGAATTTGGGGGAGTGAAAGTACCGAAGGTGGAAAGTCACCTATTATACCTCCTACAATTGAGCTATGTAGTAGAAAAAAAGCATTCCAGGTCTTAATAGTGGCAGGGCATACTTGTGGGGGCTGCACGAATTTAATTACATGATGAATGACATTCAACTTCAATTAGGATTAATTGGTCCAAATCTGCTGGCACAGCCCCAATAGCAGTCAGTTAAATGGCCTGCTACAATTTACTTAGATGCTAGGTGACTTTTGTTTTTATTTGGCTTAAAATCTGAGGCAGGGCGAATCCCAAGATCAGATGGGCCACATCACCAATAGGCCTCATGGTAGACACTCAGGTAATAAATGAACACCATGACAATCTACCAAAGACATATATGTACACATAAACGTGTATATATGTACACTTCAATACTTAGTATATTGAAGTAGATATATATACATATGCATGTACATATGGGTATAACCTTCACGCCTCATGTATGTTTTTGTGTGTTGTATGTGTGTATATGCATACACACATTTATTTTTAATCAGATGTGATAGAAAATTCACTTGAGTGGACCTTAAAAAGTTATTCCTCATGGCTAAACTGACAGATCCTGACAGGGTCGGTCCTACTATGATCACATAGATTTATTTTCCTGGTTCTGTAAGTGATGTTTCATATTCCCTGCAGTTGCGGTTAATATTTGGTCCCGGTTTTTCTCATAGTATTCCATCATTGTCTGTGTATCCTGGTCTGCCTCAATCACCTAAAAAATAAGTAAAAAAAGAAGTTAGCTGATGAAATTCATTTCTATAGTTAGCCAGGAGGACCTCTCTGTGAGAGAGGAAGAGGTTAATAGTTGCTTTACTAATGAGCCTGAAGGAAAGGAAGTGGCCAAATCCATCACAGGAGAAAGTTTTATGGATTGAAGAAGGCCAGAGCTGGAAGTGACCTTTGAGACCATCTCATCCAATCTTTACGTTTCACAGATAATGTTATAACGTTAGACTGTGGGCTCCTCAAGGACAAGGACAAAGTCTTTTGCTTTTATTTCGTCCCCAGAACTTAGCACAATGCCTGACACATAGTAGGTACTTCACAAATGTTTACTGACTTAACAACTAGCAGAATATTTCCCAACCTTGAGTCAATATCCACCCTCAGGCCAAGCTCCCTAATTCCAGAGTAGCAGCTCTTAGTTTCTTCTGTATCACTGTGTCTGTCCCTGTGACAGTCCAATGAAGCCTATGGACCCATTCCCAGAATCATATTTTTAAATGCATAAAATAAATACTTAGCATTACAAAGGAAACCAATTATATTGTAATAGTTATCAAAATATATTTTTTTAAAAAGTTCATGGGCCCCAGGTTAAGAATCCCTGCTTTAGAGTCAAATATTGTAACACCTCACTTATCTGGAAACCATCTAATTTGGCAACCTCATCCATATAGAATATGCTGTTGTTTTGTCATTTCAGTCGTGTCCAACTCTCTGTGACCCCATTTGGGATTTTCTTAGCAAAGATAGTGGAGTGGTTTGCCATTTCCTTCTCCAGCTCATTTTACAGATAAAAACACTGAGGCAAACGGGGAAGTGACTTGTCTAGGGTCACAAAGCTAGGAAGTGTCTCAGGCCAGATCTGAACCCATGAAGATGAGTCTTCTTGACTTCAGGCCCAATGCTCTATCCAGTGCACCACCCGCTGCCCATGGAATATACAGCCAGCAGCAGAAAAGGCCTCTGGAGGAACTTAATCAGCTGTCTCCAAGAATGTAAATTAAGTTCATGCACTAAACTCACAGAGGAGCCTTTATTCAGTCTACTGACTTGTTTTAGACAGGACTCTAACAAATTAGGATAAAAGTAGCATCTTCACTCACAGAGGGTAGCAGACACACACTTGTGAGGAAGACAACTGGGGAAATACACAGATGGTGGCCCAAAATGACAGGGGATAGATGCCATTAGTGTTATTCTCAGCATATTAAAAGCTGAGATGTGTGGCGCCATTCCGTGAAGAGGGACATGTATATCTTGACAGCCCCTATGGCCATCACTGGACACAGCACAGAACAGCAACTAACGCTCCTTACGACGACGTAAATCTTCAAAAAAAGTGTGAATTCTGTTCTGTGCCATCTGGGGATTCCAGAAAGCCTGCCGTTCAAAGAGGTTAAAATAAAAAGGGTTTCTGTTACCTGGACAATTCACTTCGGCATGGTGGAGGGAAAGGTAGTGTGAGTGCTACATAGAAAGTATGAAAAATTTGAAGTTAGAGAACCTGAGTCCGAATCCCAGCTCTGACATTTACTTCCTATGGGGAGTAAATAGGCCTTAGTTTCCTTAATTTGAAAAGGAGAGGGGCTGGATTAAAGGACTTCTCAGGTCCTTTACAGATCTAAATCATGACCCTATGAACACATCATTTCCTGAAAATACTGAATAAGCACACCATCATGATTGTTCTTCCATGGGTTCAAGAGTATCATCATTTTAGCTCTCTCTCCTGCCAACACACAAAAAGTAGTGCTAGTGGTACTAATTATTAGTAGTGGTGGTAGTGATTGTGGTGGTGGTTAGTATTAGTCGTACTAAGTAGTAGCAGCAGTAGTAATGGTAGTAGTAGTACCAGTACTACTAGTAATGGTGGTAGTAGTAGTAGATTGTCATCATAGTAGTGGTGATTAGTACTAGTAGTACTAGGTAGTAGTAGTGGTGGTGATAGTAGTAGTAAGCACTTTATATAGAACCTTAAGGTTTGCAAAGCACTCCATAAACCTTATCTTACTTTATTTTTACAACAAGCCTGGGAGACAAGTGCTATTATTATTCCCATTCTACACAAGAGGAAACAGAGGCAGACACAGGTTAAGTGACTTGCCTAGGGTCACATAGATATAAGTGTCTGAGGCAAGATTTGAACTTGGGTCTTCTTGACTCCAAGTTTGGTGCTATATCCACAAAACCACCTAGCTTAGATGCCTATGCCTCTCTCTGGGCATATGTCTTTCTTTCTCCTCATCTCTCTTTCCCCCTCTCTTCCCTCCCCACTCCCTCTCCCCCTTTCTTTTTTTCATTCTTCTCTCTCTCTCTCTCTCTCTCTCTCCCTCTCTCTCTCTCTCTATCTCTGTCATTCTCTCTCTCTCTCTCTCTCTCTCTGTCTCTCTCTCTCTCTCCCCCCCTCTCTCTCCCTCTCTCTCTCTCTATCTCTGTCATTCTCTCTCTCTCTCTCTCTCCCTCTCCCTCTCCCTCTTTATGTATATATGTACACATATATATGTATATGTATACACATACACACACACACATTTCCATTTCTTCTGGCATCAAACAGATATAATATTTGTCCTGTGTCCCTAACAGGATTGTTGTAAGAATCAGACACATTTAGTATTATAGATGTAATGCTGGAAGGGACCTTAGAAGTCATGAAATACAATACCCTAATTTTTACAGATAAGGAAATTAAATCCCAGAAAGGTTAAATAATTTGCCCAAGGACATGCCAGTGCTGAGATTTAAACACAGGTCCTCTGATTCCAAATCCATGGCTCTGAAGTGTTTTGTAACTCCAGAAAGCACTACAGAAATGTCAGCTGTCACTCATATCATCATCTCCTTCTCCTCATCTGTAAAATGTGGACAATCACACCTGCACCATCTACCTCAGGAGGCAAGCACGCGGTAGGTACCTCAAGTATGATAGAAATGTGAGGTCCTGCTACTATTACCCTCCCAGAAGAATCTTACCATGTTACCCCAGACAGAAAGTTGAAGAGGAGTCCTGTTTAGAACCAGATGATGCTAGCTCCCCTTGTAAACTAACTCTCAAGATCCTGCAACTTTCCACCCCCTGACAGATGGATAGTGCCTCATTCCAACTCCCAGCATGGTGAGTGTCCTTCTGGAAAGCCCCAAGACAGCCTGCTGTTCTTATGAGAGCTGGGGTAAACATACTTACAAGAACAGGAGAGGGCACTTTGAAGAGGGTTTGCTTAATGAGCCACTCCTCATACAGCTGGTGGATGGCTTCCAAATATTCCTGTAAAGTTGTTCAAACACACAAAGCTATGGTGAGTCTCGACATGAGCACAATCTCCTTCAGCAATCCAACTTTGGCCATCAAAAGTGACAGCCAAATATAGCTACCAGGGCTGGGACCCAGACAAACCATGCAATGGAAAATGGCGGATGCCATCCAAGCCTCCAGACTTGGTGGAGAGGGGCTTTGGCCAACAGAACTGTAACACGAGCATCTGGAAGTTTTCCCTGATCTTCAGCCCCATCAGTAACACCCTTCCCCTCAGGCCTCACCTAGCACTCTGTTGTGCATCTTTCTGATGCATCTGTCACGTGCATTAGGTACTAGTTATGTGCAGTGGATCTCCACAGGACAGGACTTGGTAGAACAGAAAAAGCAGCTGGATTTGGAGTCAGAAGATGCATGTTTGAATCTCAGATCTGTGTGACCCTTGAAAAAATCACTTAAACTCTCTGGATCTCAGTTTCCCCACCTGTAAAATGTGACGGATTAGACTGGATGATTCCTAAAGCCCCTTCAATCTCTCAATCTATAATCTGAAGAGGGAAGGAGCTGGGTCAGAGCTCAACTTTGCAGGTCTCTCCAGGACAAAACATAGCTCTCTACACACAGTAGGTGCTTTTAAAAGGTTTGTGGAATGAATGATAAAAAGAACACCGAACTTGGGAGAAAGATGAGATGTGAGTAGAAGCCCCACTATTTACTTAGCAGCTGTGTGACCTTGGATTTCACTTTTCTGAAATCATGGGCTTCCTATTTCTGGGCCTCAGGTTAACCTGATAATCTGGGCCCAAGATAACCCTTAGGATCAGAGATTTTGTGGCTGAAAAGGACCTCACAGGAGATATAACCCAACTCCCTCATTTTAGAGATGTGAAGACTGAGACCCAGAGATATAAGAGACAAAGTCACATAGAGAGTCCCGGTCTCCTAACTCTAAACCAAATGCTCTCTCCATGGGAGATGGGCGATGCTGCTTCCTGAAGGCCCTACCTCCTTCACCAGCCATCTTTTGAAGATCAAGTCAATCTAATCCAATACGTATTTATTAAGTACCTGCTCGTTGCAAGGAATTATACTTGGTGCTTGGGACACGGAGACAAGAAGGGAAATAGATTCTAGAAGATTCTCAAGGAATTTGCATCCTTTTGGAAGTATACAACATATAGACAGAGAAGCATGCAACGGATCATTTGAGGAGCAGAAAGATTGCTGGCAACTCAATGGGTCAGGAAAGACATCCCCCAGAAACTGGTCCATGAGCCATGCCTGGAAGGAAGTGAAGAATTCTAAGAGGCAAAGGCAAGGAGGGAGAACACATTCTGTGCTTGGAGGCAGCCTGTGCAAAAACATAGAGGTGGGAGATGAAGTCTGGCTAAAACCAGAACGTGTGAAGGGATCAGATGGGATCGCATGTGCAAATTTCTCTGCAAACATAAAGCACTATATAAATGTGAGCTACATTTATTATGTACCGTATTATATCTGATACACCATCTGATACACCAAGTTCTCTACTTTTCCACCAAATATCCTGCTCTCTTCTCATTAGCAAGAACGTCTGCTTCCCTAGATGCTGCAATTCAATTTCCAGCCAAAATGACATGAGACTCCCATCTGTCTTGCTGCTTTGACTCTTACCTCTCCAGCAGCAGCTGGTCTCCTGCCTGGCCTTTCCCCTTTCCCGGGAGATCACTGCTGCTCTGTGGCCAGCTCGCCCCAACCGTTCAGGCCTTCCTGCCAACAAAAGTCACCTTCACAGTGACTCTCACAAGAGGGAGAGAAGGAAGCACTCCCAAACTCCATTAGGTCTCTGTCTACTTGGCAGCAGCGGCAATTTCATAACAAGGAGCTTGGAATGTTACCAGAAAAGGGGACTAAACAATCAGTTTCTGTTGTTTATACAACTAATTACTTTCCTAATGTAGAATCATCCTTTTATCCCTGGAATGAATCCAACTGGGTCACAGCAAACAATTTGGGGGCCATACTGCTGAAGTCTCTTTACTAGGATATTAGTTTAAATTTTATATCAGCAGAGAAGATACTAGAATAATCACATCTCAGAGTTGGGTGGAACCTGGAAACTAGTCTAATTATCTGCCTGATGCATGAATCTCCTCCTGCAACCCCTTTCTTTTCTGAACATCTGTTTGCTCATCCAGAAAACAGAGATAACACTACTCTGCATCCTCATTGTTGTAGTGAGGAAAGTGCTTTGTAAAACCTTGATTTTTAATCACTAGATGACATAATGATAAATGCCTTTTCATTCATTCATAATGGTAATAGCTAGCTTTTATAGAGTGCTTTAAGGGTTACAAAGTGTTTTACATACTAGCTCATCTGATTCTCACAACAACCCTGTTATGTAGGTGCTATTATTATCCTCGGGCAGAAAGAGGTAAAGTGACTTAGCCAAGGTCACACCTGAGGCAGGATTCGAACTCAGACCTTCCAGACTCCAAGTCCAGTGTTCTATCCACTGAGCCACCTATTCATTCATTCAAGAGTGACTGCTTCTTTCTCAAGCTAATTTTCAGTAATGTTAACTGATCTTCGAGAAGGAACTGACAGATCTTGGGTTTTCAGAAACATCAGTGGCTAAGAAGATGCATGCTACAAGCCTACAGGAGAGTCAGACTCTGCTTTTATAATTTATGATATGATTATCACTGTGATATAATTCATGGTAATTACACTTACTGCATTCCTGTACAGTGTATGTGTGCTGGTGTCTTATTCTCCTCGTATACTATGAGCTCCATAAGGGCAGAGATTCCATCTTAGTAACACTTTAAACCTCTGCAGCACATGGCATGGATCTCTACATACAGCAGACGTCTAATAAACATTTGCTGCTGTGTTGAGCTTCCCCTTCAAAGAGTGAGCTTTCCCCATTGAGGAGTTCTGCAGGCCCAGGGGAAATTCAGGGCTGGCTAGAACCAGTGACACTGTTTAGAAAAACCAATGTTCTTATATATATGAAGTTCCCACTTCACAATTAGTAGGGGTAGTAGGCAGAAAATAAATTAATTTGATAGTTATTAAGCACCTACTGTGTGCAGAGCACCATGCTAGGCACTGGCGAAGAAATGGTGCTATGTCAGACACGGTTTCTGCCCTTGGGGAGCTTAGAATCTAGGGGGAGGCCTAGAGGAAGAAGGATTTCACAAATATGTAATACACTCACTTTGCAATCATTATAGAGCAAAACAGACTATAATAAGGAAATAAGGATAGAGAGGAAAACTAGAGCCCTCTTCCAATGCCTCATCACACTAGCAGTTCCCAAAGGCTTTGTGAGGGGAGAGGAAGTTCTGGAAGGGCCAATAATAACAAACATTTCTCTCAAGCGCCTACTAAGCATATTGGAGAGAGGGAGGAGTACGAAGACACAAAGTTTAGATAAGACACCGAAGTGATGAGAGATAAAACTACAAAGTCAAGGTGGTGCACCAGATTGTGGAAGGCCTTGAATGCCAGGAAAAATAAAGGCTTTCACAGTTGTAGTTAGAGGACCAGCCTTGGTAAGTCTGGAGAGGCTCATTACCAGAAGGCTGGACACTCATTCATTTTTTTCTAGCCACAGCAGCTCCTGAAGACTGTCTATGAAGGCAAGCAGGGGCAGTAATCTCCATCATAATGGATGGTGTGACCTGTACAACAAACTCTCAGATCCTTGAATTACTGGAGAAGGGGGGAGAGGAAGAAAGAGCAGCAAAGGCACAAATAAGAAGGCTGGAGGAACAAAGGCAGAGCCATGGGATTGGGGGGCTGGACTTTGAGTACAAAAAGGGTTTCCTTACCAATGGAATGACTTTTTCTTCCTCTCTGCATCTCTTCTTCAATCTCTTGTAACAAGTCTCAGGAGAGGTCCGGAGATAAACTGTCATTAGGAAACAATATTTGAATGTGCAATCACTGGGAAGAGTTTACAATACGGTTATTGAAAAACTGCCTTTGACTTCTCTATGTAAAAGCTGATTAGTGAATGACAAAGGGCTAAAGGAAAGGGAGCTGGCATAATCATCACTAACAGCTACCATATGATAGGGGCTGGCTTCTTCCACAGACTTCCAAAGAAGAAGCTTTAAGGTTTGCTGACTGCTTTGCCAATGATTTCATTTGGTCCTCTCAACAACTCTGGGGGGAGAGGTGCCATTCCTATACCCATTTTACAGATAAGGAAACTAAGGTAGACAGAGCTTGCCCAGGGACCCACAACTAGGTAAGTATGGATAGATGTAAATGTATGCTTATACAGCTAGGTCTTAATCAGTGTGAATAATGAATCCTCTTAAGTTGTCGCATGTATTCAAATTCACACTATTTAAAGTTATAATTATACAAAATATGGTCATTAGTTCTAGCCGAATGGAAATACACAAGATGGATTTGAACAAGGAAATGGCATCACCAGAGAATACACGATTTCACTGGCAAAGAATATTCCCAATGAGGAAATGCCCTGTACCAATGTAGATGGGCACCTGTTCTGCAACTCTGCAAATTAGTCTTCGAGGGTTGCCCTTCCAAGCGTGTGTATGTATATGTATAAACATTCACACTGACCCCACTCTTTGTCCTCATGATGTCCCATATCACCTCAACCTCCCACTCTTCCCTTTACTGGTTTAGCTTCCACCTTATGGTTTCTCTTGCCTCCCTACCCAGTCTGATAATTAGAGAATGCTAGATCTAGGAGAGGAAACGTATTTGGTCCCAACTCCCTAAAGTTACAAAAAAGGAAACTGAGGCCATCACAAATGAAGTGACTTGGCCTAGGTCATACAGCTAGTAAGTGAAAGGATTCAGACTGAAACCCTACTCTCTCAACTCCTAATTCAGAAGCCTGCTCCCCTACACCATGCTCCTTCTTCCAATGGTCCACATTTCAATGATATTCTTGCCTCTACCCTTGAATCCTTCCCTCCCTTAATGTTCCACTGTTTCCAACCTGCTAACCACCTGCCCCCCCCCAATGCATCTTCACCACACCAACTCCTGAGATGTTAAGTATTGCTGGGGAAATCCATGCTCTCTAACCCCAGATAGGACCCTCACTGCTCCATGGCTATACTTTTATTCTTCTCCTATGAACTTTCTATCACATACCCCAATTTTTAGAAATTTTTCCCACTTTTCTCAAGCCCCCAACTCCACTTTTATTCTCCTCCCTCTCAGCAGATTTTCACCTGGAAAGACAGAGGCAATCCAACATGAAAGAGTTTTCTCAACTCCCCTTCTCCACAAGGCTATAGGTTCCTAGGATCGACAGCCTGAATGAGCATACTTGGTCCAAGACCCTCATTAGTTGGAAAGTGAGGCCCAAAGAGTGGGTGTGACTGGTCCCAGGATACACAAGAAGAAAGCAGCAAAGCCAGGATTATAACTCACCTCTTCTGACTCCAAATTCAGCGTTCTTTCTACTCGACTAATTCTAAGCTCATCCATTAGATTATGAGCTCCTCGAGGGCAGGGGATGTCTTCCGCCTTTCTTTATAATCCCCAGCTCTTAGTACAGTGCCTGGCACCCAGGAGGGGATTGAGAAATGCTAGCTGACTGACTTCCAGTCATCACCTCCCTCCAAGAGCTACAGAGTGGGAAAAGGCATTTCAAAGCAATAAAGATCTAACTTGGGCTAGCCACAGGTCAGGTAGACACACATCTTACCTATTAAATCAACCGAAACATCAATGTTCTTCACAATCCAGTCAAACCATTCAGATAAGACCACATAATCCACGTCAGGCATCTTGCCACTGAAATAAGAGAAGCAACCATCACTCCTCCTCCATGCCACAAGATCCCCACAACACTCCAAGTATGGAAAACAACTGTGTCATGCCAGTCCACTGCCCAGCTCTTTGCCTTTGCATGAGCTGACCCTCGTGCCCTCAGGATCTTGCCTACCTCTTCCTCTCATGATCTCTTCACCCCTGCAAAATTCAACTCAAACATCGCTGCCTGCATGAGGACCTCGCCGATGGCCCTCTCAGCTGCTGCCTCCCCTCAACATTACTCTGCATATGTTCCCTATATATTTATCTATGTGCATGTCTCTCTAATTAGAATGTAAGCAGGGACTATTTCATTTATTGTCCTCATGTTCCCAGAACCTCACAAGGTGTTTGCCGCATCGCAGGTGTTTAGTAAATGTTACCTGGTCGATTGTATTTAGAGTATGTGTGTCTTGGGCATGTTACAGAATATATACATGTCTCCCCTCTTAGAAGGTAAGCTCCAAGAGGGCAGAAATTGTCTCATGTTTGCCTTTGTATCCTAGTACTATGCCTGGCTCATAGGAAGTAATGTCTGTTGATTGACTCTCATCCTCAAACTGGGGGAACTTCTCTATTCAATGGGTTGTTGCTGTTGTCGTCGTTGAGTTGTTTCAGTTGTGTCTGACTCTTTATGACTCCATCTTGAGTATTTTTGGCAAAGACATTGGAGTCGTTTGCCATTTTCTTCTCTAGCTCATTTGACAGATGAGGAAACTGAGGCAAACAGAGTTAAGGGATCTGCCCAGGGTCACATAGCAAATAAGTATCTGAGACCAGATCTGAACTCACAAAGATGAGTCTTTCCGACTCCAGGGCCAGCACTCTACCCACCACCTAGCTGCCCGCAATTTGTTGCTGTTCAATCGTGTCCAACTCTTGGTGACGTCATTTGGTGTTTTCTTGGTTGAAGATATCGGAGTGGTTTGCCACTTTCCTCTCTAGCTCATCTGACAAATGACGAAGCTGAGGCAAACAGGGTGAAGTAATTTGCCCAGGGTCGCACAGCTAGCATCTTCAAGTTGAATTCAAACTTCAAAGGACCACACTTGAGGACCTAGAGGGTCACCTGTGGCCTCAAGACCACAGGTTCCTCCCCAGTCCTGTAGCTAGTGCCTTCCCCACCGAGATTACCCCTCCGTCTACTCTGTACATTTCTTGAATGTACCCAGGTATTTATGTTATTTCCCCATTTAGACAGTGAGCGGGTCCGTAAAAGCAGGGACAACTGTTGCGTCTCTTTGTACCCCCGGCACTTTGCACAGTGCCTGGCACATAGTCAATGCTTAAAACTGCTTGATGACTGACAGAATATTAGAAAATAGAACCACAAGATGTCAAAATAAAAGGGACCTTTGAACATAGAATGTCAGAGTCAGAAAACGGCCTTAGAACACAAAATATCAGAACACAAAATCACAGAATGTCAAAACTGAAAAAGACCTTAGAAAACAAATGTGAGAACAGGAAGGAATCCTAGAGGACAGAATGTTAGGACACACAGTAAAACACAGCACGTCAGAGCTAGACAATCCTTTACAACAAAAGACGCCGAAACACAGAACCACAGAATGTCGGAGCTAGAGAGAACCTTGGAGGTTATGTAACCTATCCCCCACCCCCCCCTTCATTTTACAGAAAAGAAAATGAGGCCCAGGAGGGAAGCGACTTCCCCAAGGTAGCAGAGCTTTGAAATGGTGCATTCAGATCTCCTGGCTCCTAGAAATCAAAGGTCAACCCTATAGTGATTAGCAGCAAGTCAGCACTTGGCATCTTAAAAGAGTTTTCCTAATCATTTTATCTCAGAATGATTTTCCCCAAAGCAAGGACAGGAATGGAGGAAAAACACAAAAATCACTGGTGTACCACGTATGCCATCTTGTGGTTATCAACAAGTCATTGTTTTCCTATAATAGATGTAAACCAAAAAAAGAATCTAGTGACCAGAAGGTTTAAGTCAAACTAAATTTATGTCACATCAGTTTGTCCTTAAGACTTCACTCTCACCCACTAGGAAAAAAAAAATCAGAGGAGATATAAATCCCCCTCTGAACTAGAGTAGCTACTTTCTTAGGCCTGGTCTTTCTGCCCTGGATCATGCCCCAGAATTTGAGAGTGGTTAGGATTTCTAGTCTAAGACAATGTGGACCATAAACTGCATCAAAAAAGGTATATTTGTCAAGAGAACCGAACGTGTGAGCCAACATTTCTAATATTATTATGATTACATTTAAGTTACAACTGACTCAAAAGCATCCATGTTCCAATAGGTTTTGGGCCTATAAGATAATGATTAGCCAGCAGCCCCTATCATTCAACAGACATTCATTAAGCGTCTATTCTGTGCACAGTGTGGAAATACAAAAACGATGTACAACATAGTTCCTACCCTCAAGGAGCTTATAATCCACTGGGGGGAATCTGGAATGTACACAAGTATGAGATGATGTAAAATATGAAAGGGACAAAGGAGAAATCCAGACAAAGGGTTCTGGGAAAATCCAAGCAGGGAGGAATCCAAGAAGACTTCATGGAGGAAGTGGCATCTGAATTGGACCTTAGTATCCTATGATATAGAGGGGGTCTTAGCGATGACCTAGTCATAGGAACACAGATTTAGAGATAGAAAGATCTTAATCCAATCCCTTTGTTTTACAGATGAGGAAACTGAGACCTAAGTAGATTGAATTACTTAACCAAAGTCACACAGACAATAGAGTGGTAAAGAACCATATAGATCATCTAATCCAATCCCCCTTTTTGCAAATAAGTAAACTGAGGCCTAGAGAGGAAGAACTAACTTGCCCATGTTCACATGGCTCCTAAATTGCAGAGCTGATATTAAAACTCAGATTCAGGGCAGCTAGGTGGTGCAGTGAATACAGCACCGGCCCTGGATTCAGAAGGACCTGAGTTCAAATCCAGCGTCAGACACATAACACTTAGTAGCTGTGTGACCCTGGGCAAGTCACTTAACCCCCACTGCCCAACCAAAAAACAAAAACAAAAAACAAAAAAAAAACTCAGATCCTCTGAATCTCCAAATCTAATTCTCTTTTCAACAAGTAGCATCCACAACCAGTCTTGGTATAGTACCAAGGCCTTCAATAAATATAATTCCCTCTTCCAGACTGTGCTGTCATCTAATAATCAGGCTCATCAAAAAGAAAAAACAAAAACCAATCACTATAAATAACATGTGTGGTTTACGGTCCACATTGTCTTAGACTAGAAATCCTAACCACTATCAAATTCTGGGGCATGATCTCAGAGGAGTAAATATAAGGTCCCCAAAATCAGAAGGGGAAAAAAGTAACCTCAGTATTTTTGTTGTTGTTTAGTTGTTTTCAGTCACGTCCGACTCTTAGTGACCCTTTTGAGAGTTTTCTTGGCAGACACTGAAGTGGCTTGCCAATTCCTTCTTCAGCTCTTTTTACAGATGAAGAGACTGAGGTAAACAGGATTAAGTGACTTGCCCAGGACCACACAGCTAATAAGTGTCGGAGGCCGGATTTGAACTCAGGAAAATGAATCTTCCTGACTCCAGGTCCATTAGTGCCACCTAGCTGTTCAACTTCAGTATACAATCCAAAAAAATTCCATCAGAAAGGTATCATTTTTAAATGCCCCTGACTGCCACTCAAAAATATCAAAGCTTCAAGAAAATGATGATTAAACTGTGGTTGCAAAATTATTTTTAGTTATCTGTGAATGGCAGACACAGAGAGCTTGAATCAAACGAATGAACTGATAATCCAAAAATGTTATTGCAGCCAATAGGTTCAGCCTCCCAATCTAGCAAAACTCAAACCAGAGCTATGAGTGAACAGCGAAGTGCATTAGCTGACATCTTATCTCTTCTCTTTGCCGTGGCCTGAAAAAGAATGGGACTGTCCAAATAAAGGGAGAAGACATGTCGATGAAAAGCCAGCAAGTTACTGGGAAGAAAAGCGGACTGAAAGCTAGGAGACGCAGGTTCTCATCCTGACTCTGACACTAAAAAGCTGGTGAACTTCGGTAAGTCACTTCTAGGTCTCAGCTTCCTCCTCTATGAAATAAGATGATTAGATGATTTACAAGGCAGGTCTCCTCCAACTCCAATAGCCCACGTGTTAAGGGTTTCCTCTAACCCTGGCATTCTATGATCCTGTGATTCTAGATGTGAAGTCTACAACTAGATGCTCAAAGTGAACAAAACTGTGTCTAATGATAATAAACAACAACTTACATTTCAATACCACTTTTAAGATTCATAAAGCACTTTCCTCATGACAAATCCTATGAAGTAGGTTGTTCACATTGCATTATTCCCATTTTATGAGCGAAGGAATTAAGCCTCTGAGACATTACAGGATTTGCCCACATTCGCAAAAGATGCTTAATAAAACCATCTGCAGTGGGATTTGAACCCAGTTCTCTTGACTCCAAACTCAAGGCTCAATTCACTAGGGCATCCTGAATAGTTTCATAATGTGCTAGATGACAGAGTAGGCTTGGGCTGATGTACTGAATCTAACATGACGTAATTTAATAATGATAATGATGACAGCCTTCAAAAGTCTGAAGGGCTAACGAGGAACAAGAACAGGACTGGTTCTGCTTGGCCCCAAAGGGTGGTCCTGTGGCTAGAAGCTACAAGGGGACAGACTGTGGCTCAGAGAATCCAAGATTTTGAGTTGAAAGGAAGTTAGGAGGCCATCTGGTCCAATTTGCTTCCGGAAAAGACTAGATACACCCCCCCGCCCATCCACCAGAATGTACCTGACAAGTGGTTATCTTGACTTTGCTTAAAATAAGATGGAACCCACCATCTCTCTACCAAGCTCTCACTTTGGGATAGTTCTTCATTGTTAGGAAGTTCTTCCTGACATCAAGCCAAAATTTTTTGGACTGTAACTTCGTTTTCATTTCTCCTAGTTCTGACCTCCTAGCCAAACAGACCAAGACTAATCCCTCCTTTTTGTGACTGCTTTTAAAGTCCTTAACACTAGCTCTCCTGCCCTCTGTGTCTTCTCTTCAAGAGGCTTTGATAGAAGGATGAAGTTCCTACCCAATGGAACTGTTCAACAGTAGAATGGATTGCCAGAAGAAGGTGAGATCCTAGTCTTTGGTAAGAACTTCAGGTACAAAGAAGGCAGCGGCTGAACAGAGATGCACATAAGGGGCTCTTGCTCCAGGCTGGGGGGTTGGTCTCAATGACTTCTGAGGGACTTTACAAATTGAAGAATCGATGATCAGTACGGCTCTCTTTTCTTCAACAAGAACTGATCAGCAATTTCAGAGAATCACATAGCCCACCACAACAGGTTGCTGAATTACAATCAATCAAGCCACAAGCACTTATTAAGCACTGACTACGTGCCAGGTACTATTCTAAGTCCCAGGGATACAAAGAAAGGCAAAAGCAAGATAGCTACCCTCGAGAAGCCCGCGTTCCAATGGGGGAGATGGAGGGTAATCTCAGAAGGGACTGACTAGCATTAAGAGGCACTGGGAAAGGCTTCTTGTAAAAGACAGAATTTCAGCCAAGGCTTCCAGAAAGCCAGGAGGCAGACGTGAGAAGGGACAGAATTCCAGGCATGGAGGACTATAATTAGAGGAGACATTTAAAGTTAGCAAGCTCAACCTCTCATCTTATAAAGGAGGACCCACAAGTTCAGAAGAGGGAAGTGTTTTCATGGTTCACAGGATCTTAGTATTTCAGAGTTGGAAGGGTCCCTGTAGGTGATCTAATCCAAGGGTTCTTAACCCAGGGACTATGAATTGACCCTCCAAGGCATCTGTGGATAGATTTAATGGAGTCCATGAAAATGTATGTGTTAAAAAAAAATCACATTTAGGGGGCAGCTAGGTGGTACAGTGGATAGAGCATCAGCCCTGGATTCAGGAGGACCTGAGTTCAAATCCGGCCTCAGACACATAACACTTACTAGCTGTGTGACCCTGGGCAAATCACTTAACCCCATTGCCTAGCCAAAAAATAAAAAATCACATTTATTTTCACTAACCTCTAACTAAAATTCAGCAAGTCCTTCAATTATTTAAAAATATGATTCTGAGGAATCCACAAAGGAGTCCCTTTGTCACACTGCCATTTTAGTCCATGACACAAAAAAGGAGAAGAACCCCTGATCTAGTTCAACCTCTCATTTTATAGGGGGAAAGAGGTCCCGAGACTGGATGTGGACTGAGCCAAGATCACCCAGGTCTCATCAGTGGTAAAATCTGAGATCTGAACATAGGTTTTATGATTCCATAGCAAATTTCTTTGCAATATACCATACTGTAATTGGGGCTAAAACACTAAGCCATCACATTAAGTAACGTCTTGCCCAGTTTGGGGGACATATACCAGAGTTAAAGGGGTTCCATCAGACTTTCCAAACCAAATTAACTTTGGGTTGGAAGGTACTTTAGAGATCACCCTTAATTCTACATATGAGGAAACTGCAAAGTCAGAGAAGGAGAGTGATTTTCCCATGATGACAGAATGAGTAGCAGAACAGGGGTTGGAACATTGTACTTCTGACTTTAAATATAGTGCTTGACTTGACCGAGCTCTCACAGGTAACTGAATAGCTAGGATTTGAACCCAGGACCTCTGACAATAAACCCAGTTCTCTTTCTACTATATCTAAGACAGATAGTTGTTTTAGATGAAAATCATAGCACCACACACACCATAGGTACTCAATAAATATGTTGAATGAATGGGGATAAAACAGTTTAGCAAAAACTGCTCAATGGTTATTTTTAAAAATCAGTAAGCCAAGAACTATACCTTCTATGCAAATTTTCTACAAAAATGTATTTCGCACTGTGAATTGACCTCTCCATCATCCGCACTGGTAAAATCTAGAGGAAAAAGAAAAAGTGGTTCACTAGTTTTGCACTTGATGCAGACAAATACTATGAAATACATAGAAACCAATTCTCTTCATTCTCTGTTCTATATCTTTAAACTGGACAATGGTCCAATCATGATCAATTTATTAGTTAGGTTAGTAGTAACCAATAAATTGTGTCTATAACCTCTCAATAACTGAACACTTCAAGGTAGGGCTTACTAGCCTTCATATAATTTTAAGGAGTACAGTGTTGGGTAGATGGGGAAGACAATGCAATTGGTTATAGAGTAGACAGCATCGTCGGGGTGGTGACAACATGATTGGTTACATCAAAGAAAGGCTGGCGAGCACCCATGTGGGACTAGTAATCACCCCTTCCCAACAATTAACAAATGTTCATTGTTTTATGGGACCCATCTGTCTCTTGTAATCAGCTAGGAAATCAAAACTACCAGACTTGGTGTCTCTTTGGCAGAGACAAAAATTCCCCTAACTGCACAAGGACAGGCAAGGACAGACAGCATCTCTTTTGCGGGTGGTACCAAGTTAACTTGTAACTTTAAACTAACTCAAACGGAAAGTAGAATTCCTGAACTCTACTCAAGGACATAGAAAGGTGGCTTTAAGCAGATGCAGACTCAATTATAAAATTAATACATTATAAAAATCAGCTACATTGTACAATCAATACAGTAGAAACTCAAAAGTAATATTAATTTTGACCTTTTCACCAGTCTGAGGAAGACCCTCATTGTCTCCACCCTGTTGGCTCTGAATGGTGGCTTTCCTTTCATCAACACCATATTTCCCCAGGACGGTAGTTAATGAGGTTTCCCAAAGATTTCCATTTTCATAGTTGAAGGAGTTGACTTCGATGAAAATCACTACTAGTAGTGAGCAGTGTGACAAAAGATGGTGCCCAGAACGCTGTCAATGAGGCAAAGATACTGGAGTGGTTTTCCCTTTCCTTCTCCAGCTCATTTTACAAATGAGAAACTGAGGCAAAAGGGGGTAAGAGGCCCGACTGGCTTCACAGAGCTAGGAACTATCTGACGTCAGATTTGAACTCATGGAGATGAGTCTTCCTGACTCCAGATCCAACACTATGCACTAGGGCACCACTTAGCAGCCAGGTGTGGTGGAAGAAGTCAGAGAAGATTTGAAATCAGAATGCATGGCTTTGTTCCTTACTACCTGCATAACCACAGATGAGTCTTTCTTATTCCTCTGGGCCTTGGTTACCTCCCCTTATAAAATGAAGGGGACAGGTACTAGAAGACCTCTAAAATCCTTTGACTATAGTTTTTTTTTTCATCTCTCATTATAGTTTACTGGATAAATACAAAGTCATAGCCTCATTTAAAAGATAAATCAAATTTAAAATGGTGTGCACACACCTAATCTCTGTAATGCAGAAACAAATTAGTTTAAACTCATCATTAGGCACTTTTTTAAAGTGAAAGTTTGGAATTTTAGGAGTTATGTAGTATTTTCATACTCCTAAATTACAAGCAAAATGTGTTTCTATATATAAAAAAATGTAAAAATTTAATTCTAAAGATACTGAGGCACATTTTTCCATTTCTTCCTTTCCCTAAAAGTCTGAAAATAGATTTCATACATTACATTAATATTTACAGCACTGTGAATAGGGGGAAGAAAGGAACAAAGAACTTGTACATCTCTCTCTCTCTCTCTCTCTCTCTCTCTCTCTCTCTCTCTCTCTCTCTCTCCCTCTCCCTCTCTCTCTACGTCCCCTACCAGAAGGTCCATAGAGATTTCCTCAAATGTAGAAAGAAATTTATTGCAGCTAGTTTATAGAGTTTAGGACTTGAAGTCAGGAAGACGTGAGTTCAAATCCTATCTCAGAAATTTACCAGCTGTGTAACCCGGACAATTCACTTAACCTTTCTGTGCCCTGGTTTCGTCATCTATAAAGGGGATAATAATAACACCTACCTCCTAGGGTGTTGTTAGTATCCAAAAAACATACATAAAATGCTTTGCAAACTTTGCATTATATAAATGTTGGCTATTATTATATATTATTCCTATTAAACCTAGGCTATTATTATTATATATTATTGTATACTGTTATTTATTACATGATATAAAATAATTTATTATTAATAATAACCTTCTAGTGCATATTTATAAACAAATGTCACTAGAAATTGGGGGACAATGGTAGGGAATCATCTACTTTGATTCTTGACCAAATAGTTTTCTTTTCATTGGACCTGGGATTTCATGAGTGATGGGAACCCCCAGGAAAGACACTCCACCAGTACAGTCCTACAACTACTCAGCAACTTATGTCTGAGTGCTGCTTAGGGCATTGAGAAGTCAAATTATTTGCCCAGGGTCATACAGCCAGTGTGTGTCATGGTGGCAAATGAACCCATGACTTCTCAACTGTGAGGCTAGCTCTCTGGTCACACTATACCACTCTTCCCCGACCTGTTAACTTTAGGAAATGTAACTTGGGAAAAGTGAAATTCAGACTTGCAAAAAAAAAAATTAAGGCATTTGTTTTCCAAGGATACATATGAGCCTATACCTCACTCTAAGTGTTAATTATATATAGAGGTGTAGTTATGTAACCATGGGAAGAATCATTCACATTCGTTAGTTAGCATATATAATGTTATTGGAAATGGTAAAAGGACAGAAAAAGTCAAAGCTAGAAGGGACCTTAGAACAAAGAATGCCAGAGCTAGGAAGGTCCTTAGAACAGAAAACATCAGAGCCGGGCAGTACCTTAGAATGCAGAGCTGGAATGGATGCTGAAATTACAGAGAAAGCTGAAGGTAAAAAGAAATCACCTCCTCCACTTTCTCATTTTTCAGATGAGGAAACTGAGGCCCAGAGAAGGAAAACGAGATGGCTTAAAACAGCTAATAGGGCCAATCCTAGAAGTAAGGTCTTCCTTCCAGTCTAATGGACAGATTTTCCACTATACCCTGTTGTATAGTAACTAACTACAGATAAGAATTTCTTCCTACTAAAAAAAATAAAAAAGAAAGGTACCCTAAAAGTTTATTGTTAAAGAGTTCTAGAAAGAAAGAAAGAAAACTAAGTGCATGAAACTCACCAGAGCTTGGTGTGCTGCTCCAGCATGGTAAGCTGCACATAAGTCTGCAAGGTTATTCCCCATCTGGAGGCATCCTGATACATCAAGCCCTAGAAGGCAAAGGGAGACAACTTCACTTACACTGCAGGTAAAAGAATGACAAAACTCCATAGGACTGGGGGCAGGAAAGAGCCACATTCCCCTGAGATTTTACGAGGAAGGAAACTAAAATGGAGAAAATGCCTCCACCGAAGTCACACAGATAGCAAGGTAGAGAGGCAGAAATAAACCCACGTCCTAACTCCAAATCCAGAGCTCATCCCCAGGCTTTAGACGAGTCTTTCCTCTCCCAAGGAAAAAATGCTGATTACAGCACTGATTCTCTACCTTTTGGTCTCAGGACCGACCCTTTTACACTCTTACCAGCCTAAAGAGCTGTTGTTTGTGTGAATGATATCTACTGATATTTGGGCAGCTAGGTGGCACAGTTGAAAGAACACCAAATCTGGAGTCAGGAAGACTTGAGTTCAAATCCAGCCTCAGACACTTACTAGCTGTGTGACCCTGGACAAGTCACTTACCCTGTCTGCCTCAATTTCCTCATCTATAAAATAAACTGGCGAAGGAAATGTCAAATCACTCCAGTACCTTTGCCAAGAAAACCCCAAGTAGGGTCACAAAGAGTTGGACATGACTGAACAACAATCTATTGATATTTACTATAGAAGAAATTAAAACTGATAAAATTTTTAAAATATGTACTGATTCATCAAAAATTATAATAAACCTATTACATGTTAATATAACTAAGTTTTAAATGAAAAACAAGTAAATTTCCTAAAACAAAATAAAAAGTTTGGTGAGAAGACTGGTCCTGTTTTACATATTTTCACACATCTATTTTAATGGAAGACAGCTGGATTCTCAAACTGCTTCTGCATTCAATCTGTTGTGATATGTTGCTTTGGTTGAAATACGCAAAGAAAATCTAGCCTCACACAGACAAGCAATCAGAAAAAGGAGTATTTTAATAGGCAAATAATGTCTTAGTATTATTGTGATAATAAACTTGAACTAGAAGCCTCTGAAATGGTCTCGAGGACTTCCAGGGGTCCATAGATTATGCTTTGAGAATCGCTGCCCTCATAGGATAAGAGATAAGTAACCACCATTTGGGGGGAGGGGGCAGAACAGCCAGGTCCAGATGATTATGCAGCAGAAGATACAGGCACAAAACACAAAGTACATTGCTGCATGTGAAAGGAAAGATAAACCTTAATCTCTTGATACACATGCTTGTGAAAATTGTCTGTGCCTTTGGACAAGATCTATAACATACTGACCTAAAAACTGGAATAGATGTGAAACTAGCTGTTGTTTTTGTTGAGCCCTATCCGACCCTATTTGGGATTTTCTTGGTAAAGATACTGGAGTAATTTGCCATTTCCTTCTCCAATTCATTTTACATATGAGGAAACTAGGAAAATAGGGGGAAATGACTTGCCCAGAGTTACAGTTAAAAAGTGTCTGAGGCCAGATTTGAACCCAGGAAGATGAGTTTTCCTGACTTCACGCTATATCCACTGCACTACCTAGACCTGATGTTTATAAATACATACTCTCTCTCCCTATACACACACACACACACACACACACACACACACACCCCTTTAAAATTAACTGCACAAAAATGAAAACAACCTTGAGATATCATTTTATACCAACCAGACTGGCTAAAATGATAGAAAGGGAAAGTGATAAATGTTGGAGGAGATATGGAAAACCTGGGACACTAATTCACTGTTGGTGGAATTGTAAACTGATCCAACCATGGTGGAGAGCAATCTGGAATTATACCCAAAGAGTTATTAAACTACCTAGACCCTTTGACCACTACTTGATCTACTAACCCTAACCCTAAATATGCGCAGAGAAATACCACTACTTGATCTATTTATGAAGACAATTAGGGAAAAGAGAAAAGAACCTATATGTTTTAAAATGTTTGTAGCAGCTCTCTTTGTGATGGCAAAGAACCAGAAATCGAACGGAGGCCCATCAGCTCTGAACAAGTTGTGGTATATGACTGTGATGGAATACTACTTTGCTAAAAGAAATGATGAGCTCATTGATTTTAGAAAAACATAGAAAGACTTGCATGAAATAATGAAGAGCAAAATGAGCAGAACCAAGAGGACGTTGTATACAGTAACAGTAATAGTTTTAAGAACAACTTTGAGAGAGTAAGTTATTTTGTCTATTATAAATGCCCAAATTAGCTGTAAAGGACATATGAAGAAAGACACTATTTGCATCCAGAGAAAGAACTGATAAACAGAACTACGTATAGAACAATTTTAAATATGTACAAGTATTTGTATCTAATGGTAGCCATCTCTGTGGGACGGGGGGAGAAAAAAAGAAATTTACATGCTAATTTTGTTGTATATTTGAAAGGAATAGTAAGTTGTACATAGCAGATTTGCAGTTTCATGTGCGATCATCTTTTTATTGTACTATGTTATGGAAATGCTTGTTTTATTCCATAAATTAAAAATACAATTTTTTTAAGAAAGTAAAAAATAAATAAAATCAACTGCACAAAAGAGTATAAAATCAACTCGAAGCCTCTAGCAGTGAGCTCCTGACCTCTCTGGGAACTTTCTAGACTATTGCTTTTAATTTCCTTGTCTGGGGCTTTTAATCATCTTGGAGACTACTTTTACCTGGGGTATTTGAATATGTTTTTATTAAAGGGAATTTTTTTTTAACCAACTACACAAAAATAAGATGGGAGAGCTACGGTTAGAAAGCTATTAACAACCAAAACAACAATAGTACTTAACATTTATATAACCCTTTAAGATTTGCAAGATGCTTTACATATATAATAGTAATAGCTAACATTTAATATAGCGCTACAAAGCTTACAAAGTACTTTACCTATATTATCTCATTTGATCCTCTCATAACAGCCCTGTGAGGTAAGTGCTACTATTATTTCCATTTTGCGGACGAGGAAATTGAGAATGAAAGAAGTGACCTACCCAGAGTCACACAACTAGTTTCTGAGGCAGGATTTGAACTCAGGTTTTCTGGACTCCAACTCCAGTCCTCTAGCCACTATACCACCTAGCTGCCTATTCATGTTAAAAAAAAAAAAGGCCAGAGGTGTTTCAGAAATTATAAGTAAGCTCAAGGAGTCAAATGTGTGGCAGACATGTGGGTTAATTCAGCCATGACACTCCCTAGCTCAAAAATCTTCCACAGCTCCCTGTTGCCCTTAGGATAATATACAAACTACACACTGAAAACTCTCCACAATCTGACTCTAACCTACCTTCCCAATTTTACCTCATGTAACAGTCCCTGACATATATCCTCTCCATTCCAGACAAACCAGACTACTTGTTATTCCATAAACTTACTCGCTGTGTCCTGCCTTCAAGCATTTGCACTGGCTGTCCTCCATGCCTGACACATACTCCATCCTCATTGCTGCCTGCTGAAATCCTCTTTCTTCAGCTTCTGGCTCGGGCTAAATCACCTCCTCCATTAAGCCTTCCCTGATTCCCTCCAGAAAAAAAATGATCTCTCCTCAAACTTTTCCGGATGTATCCTTTATCTATTCTATCAAGTTCATTTGTATACACAACGTATTCCCTCTACCAGACTTTAAACTCAATGACGGGAAAAGGACCATGGTTTTTCAATTTTATATATCCCAAGCTTAGCACAGGATTTTGCATACGGTAGGCACTAAATAAATGTTTCTTGAATTAAAATTTTTTTTAAGTTAATTCAAGGCTTCTTTGATTGAAACATAGTATCTAAATTGAGAAAGGGCACAAGTTCCCCGCTGTACTATCTTTAGAAGAGGAGAGATCAAAAGGCGTAGCTCTACCACTTACTGACTGGGTGACTTTGGATAAATCATTTCTCCCCTCTCGCATAGTTTGCTTCATCTATAAAATGAGAGATTTGGACCACATGGTCTCTGCAGCCCCATTCAGCTCTAAGGTGTCATGACTTTGGATTGCATCTAGTTCAGCAGGCTGTGTTTTAAGAGGGCCACTGACTACTTTTAGAAAATCCAAAAGAAGGGCATAAAGGACAAAGAAGTCACTCTGAACTATGATATAAATATGACTATATCTGGTTAACATTAATAGACACTTGATTAAAACAAGTTGGAGATGGTTGGCAGCTTATGGCTTTGGATATGATTTCTTTTTAAAACATTATTCAAAAGTTAGATAGATCAATAGTTATTAACATGTAATAATAACAAATAATTTAATAACTTAATAATAAATAACTAATTATGTTTTCTATTTGTATTTCTTTAAAATTGCCATTCAGTCGTTTCAGTTGTGACTGACTTCATGACTCCATTTGGGGCTTTCTTGACAAAGATATTGGAGTAATTCGTCATTTCCTTCTCCAGTTCATTTTATAGATGAGGAAACAGGCAAACGGGGTGAAGTGACTTGGCCAAGGTCAAGCAGCTAGTGAGTATTTGAGACCAGATTTTAACTCAGGAAGGTGAGTCTTCCTGACTTCAGGCCTAGCACTCTATCCACTTAGCCACCCAATTTAAAAATTGTTAAACCCTGCTAAAGTAGCATTGAACAAAGACGCCAAGGATACCTGGCCCACTCAATAGGACGCTCAGATGACCCTTGATCATTCACTGTCATCAAATATTTGAAGCACTGCCACGTGGAAGTGAGATTGGATCTTTTTCTACTTGGCACCAAAGGGTAGGACGAGGTACAGCTAGCAAGCCATCTATTAGAAATGGGACCAGGAGGAAGAGGTTAGGAGCAAGCAGGTTTCTGCTCCACACAAAAGAAAACAACAGCAGTAGCTATCCAAAGCAGAATGGATCACCTCAAAAGGAAGTGACTCTCCCATCACCGAAGAGCATCAAGCAGGGTTCAATGACCATTTTTCCAAGGCTTCTATAGAGGAGTTTCCCGATCAAGCAGAAGGTAGACAAGATTGTGGATTCTTAACAGGGGCTGGGGGGTGGGGGGCCATGAGCTAGTTTTTTTAAAAAATATTTTGATGACTGTATTTTAATACAATTGGTTTCCCTTATAATCTATGTATTTTGTTGTATACATTTAACAACAGGGAAAGGGCCAATGGGCTTCCCCAGATATTGCCAAAGGGGTCTAGGATACAAGCAAAGTGAAGAACACCCCAATCCAGATAACCTCTCATGTCCCATCCAACTCTAAGGGTCTACACTATTCAAGCCCTAACCTAATAATAATGACAGCCCACATTCCTATCATACTTCATAACACATTTTTCTCAAGATAACTCAGGGAGCTAGTGGTAGGTAGAAGGAGTCTTACTCTCATTTTCAAATAAGAAAACTCAGATTAAGTAACTAGCTCAGGGTCACTCAGTCAAACAACGATGCATTTTTGTAATGAATTGAGGGTCAGACTAGACAGTTCCTGAGGGCCCTTCCAATTTTACAATTCTAATTGCACAGCAACTGTCATCATATATGACAACCTATTATAATTATTGATGATATAAAAAAGGTGGGGAAGGATCTGAAAATGAAAATAACCCTTCCCCAAGCTCATAGCACCAAGAAGTCTTGCTTCTTCTATTCAATGACTAGCAAATACCTATCTGGGCTGAAAGGAATGGAGAGGGCAAAAGAAGAAAGACTTGCTGGATGCAATTAGGCAGACAATCTTCCCTTGGTAATCATCAGCCAGGATAATACTGATACCCATCCAATGGCTTTCTGGTGGTAAGCCCAAGGGAGGGGAGTCTGCTGGTCTCTTTCTTCCCAATTCTTCTGCTCCCTGTCACCAAGGCAACACAGGCAAGATTAGTTCTGGCTTCCTTGGAAAAATTCCCCCTCTGCATATGCCCTCTCATAAGATCCTACTGTCAGAGCCAAACACAGGATCAGAGAATTTCAAAGCAAAAAGAGATCTAAGAATACTAGAATTGGATGGGACCTTATATAAAACATCAGAGCCACAAGGCACTTTTAAAACAGAATATTGGAGTTAGAAGGGTCTTAAGAGTTCTCAGGCAAATTGGAACCGAGAACATTAGAGCTATAAGGAACTCCAGAACCCAGAACGTTAGAGCTATCAGGGACTACAGGACACAGAACGTTCAAGGCCAAAGGGCTTTTAGAAAATAAAATATCATGACCAATGTCATAAAAGGAATTTCTTTTTGTTTTCCATTGGGGTGGGACAGGGAAAGAAGAAAGATTTTTGTTCATTGAAAAGAATCGAATTTAAGGGGCAGCTAGGTGGCGCAGTGGATAGAGCAATGGCCCTGGAGTCAGGAGGACCTAAGTTCAAATCCGGCCTCAGACACTTGACACTCACTAGCTGTGTGACCTTGGGCAAGTCACTTAACCCTGATTGCCTCACCAAAAAAAACCAAAAATTGAATTTAATTTAAAAAAAGAAAAAATCATCAAAACTGAAAGTGATATTAGAACATAGCAGGCCCAGACCTTGGCAATTTTCTAGTCTACTCTTCTCATCTTGCTATACAGATAAGGAAATTTAGAGCCAAAGACCAGTTTTCTCATCTTACTGTACTGATAAGAAAATTTAGGTCCATAGAGAAGATGGGGATTGCTCAAAGTCATAGAGAAAATGTTAAAATGTTCCTTCTGAAAAAAATCTAAGCTTCATAGTCTTGAACTTCACCTTGCCCAGGCCAGCAATCCCCACAAAATCCATGACTCTCTACTAATAATTATGGATTTTCACTCACATCATCCCTCAACAAGCAACTAACAACAGCTGCAAAAGGTTTGCAACGTAGTCGGGTTTGTTTTGTTTTTTATAAATATTATCTCATTTTATTCTCACAACAACCCTAGTGGGGAGGTTGGATATTATTATTGCCATTTTACAGATGAAGCAACTGAGGCAGAGAAAGGTTAAGTGACTTGCCCAGGGTCACACAACTAGTTAAGTGTCTGAGGCAGAATTTGAACTCAGGTCTTCCCAACTCCAGGTCCAGTGTTCAATCTGCTTTGCCACCTCATTGCAAATAGCAAACTGTGGTTTTCCAAAGAATCCACTGGAAAGCACTGTCTACAACTTATTTTACTTCCTGCCTCTCTCATCAGCCCTGATAGTCCCAAATTAACATGGGTAGAATTCTGCCCAGCCGCCTCTGCCTATCCTCCACTGTTATTTTCATTCAAACATCCTCACGGTGTGCTAAGGCACAACCCTGAACAATGTTTGGACTGAGATGCTCTAGCCTCTCTAGGCTAGCAGGCTCCCCCCACAGCTCACTCACCAGAGGGTTGTGGCCACGGACATTTCTCCATTTAGATACAGGCTCTGTCAAAACCTGGAAAATGGAAAACAGAAACCAAGGATCACCAACAAAAAAAAAAAATCAGAACTGAAAAGAACCTGGCACGGAATAGGCACTTAACATTTGCTTGTTGACTCATTAAGGTTAATGGGCCTTGATACATGAAATGTCAAAGCCAGAGCAAAGAGTATTACAGCTAACCCCTCATTTTAGAAGCGGAAGAAAACTGAGGCCCAGAGAAGGGAAGATAGAGCGAGTGGCAGAGTCCAGACTCTTCCTCTTCAGAACACTGGCTCACACTGCAATAGACTTCGAGTTTTTCCTTTCAGTTTATCTGGGCTTCAGTCTCTCCGATTTGTCCAGCTGTGGCATCCTGGAGCAGAGATCCACTTGGGAAGGGGTCTCCTGAGTGCCCTGTCCTTTGCTAGGCCCTAGTTAAGAGAGAAATAGAAGTGGACTCCAGGACTTTCCAACCTTAGCAAGGGCAGACCTGACCCATTTGCCCCCATACACAAATGGGCTACAACTATGAAGAGCTCCAGCTAACTCCATCTCATTCACCAAGCAATTAGCCAACTGCATTTGATACTTAAGGGATCCTAGGGATACAGAGCCTGCCCTCAAGGAGCTTATATTTCCTCCCTGTGGCCAGCGGGGGCTCCTCTTCTCTACTAACCTAAGTCATTCACCTCCTTTAAAACTCAACTCAAAACTCACTTCTGTCCTTATTGTTAGCTGGCCTCCATCCACCTCAGCATTTCAACTCATCCCACACTGTCTTAAATTTAATGAGGTGCAGTTTTGAAGCTCTCCTTCAAGGCTGGGTCTTCTATGAAGATTCAACGAGCCTTCTAAAGCATCAACTTAAGAAAGAGAGACTATATTATCTTACTTTGGTGACAAAGAAGATCAAAATATACAACCAGAAGAAGACAACAAAGTCAGAGCTCCTACATCCAAAGCCTCCAAGAAAAATATGAATCAGTCCCATTTTCAATCAGCTGCCCAATCTGTGGGTCAGTTATATCAAACTCAAACGGAAATGGATCCCTGTTGCAGCATATTGTTTTTTGTTGTTACTCAGTTATGTCCGACTCTTGATGATCCCAAGGACTAAGGTCCATCTATCCCCCACTATGTCCTGAAGTCTCTCCAAGCTCATATGACCCTATCTCTCCATCTTATCCTCTGCCATTACCTTCTCCCTTTGCCTTCAATCTTTCCCAGCATCAGAGTCTTTTCCAATGAGTCCCACCTCCTCATTATGTGGCCAGAGTATTTAATCTTCAGCTTCAGTATTTGACCTCCTAGTGAATAGTCTGAACTAATTACTGACTCACTTGATCTCCTTGCTGTCCAAGGGACTCTCAAAAGTCTTCTCCAGCACCACAATTTACAAGCCAGTATCTTGGCTTGGAAACCACAAATTGACACTATCTGTATTATATTATATTTTTACTTATTTTGTTAAAAAATTCCCAATTACATTTTAATCTGGTTTAGGTCGGCTAGTTTGTGGGTTGCTTGGGGACAGCTGGCTACAAACAATAACTCTACTGTAGGTTGTATCTCCACAGTATTTCTCTCCTTAGTCTTCTCTCCACTAACACGGCCCTTATCACTTCTTGACTGGACTACTGCAGCATCCTCCTAATTAGTCTCCCTTCCTCCAGTCTCTCGGTTCTCCATACATAGGTGAAATTGATATAATTCCCAAAACACAAGTCTGAAGACATAATTCCCCTACCCAAGAAAAAAAAATAATCAACAAGCATTCATTAAGGGCCAAATATGTGCCAGGTGCTAGGGACATAAGTATAATGATGAATTAAACAATTCCCTAATCATAGGAGCTAACATTCTAATGGGGAAAACATTTATACATATATATATGTGTATGCAGAATAAATTTAAAGCGAATAAAAGCAAAAGAGTTATTAAATACAAGGTAGGCTGGGAAGGTGCGCACTAGCAGTTGGGGGAGGGGGGTAGCAGTAGGAAGATACATTCACGCAGAAGGTGTCTGAGTTTTCTTGAAGGAAGAGAGGCAGGTACTCTATGAGGCAGAGGGAATATGGAATGCACCCCAGACTTGTGGGATAGCCAATGCAGAGGCATGGAGAAGGGTGTGTAAGCAACACACAGTGAGCCAGTTTGGCTGGTCAGTGTGTACAGGAGGAGAGTAATGTCTAGACAATGTCCATTGGACTAGGCTGGAAAAATAAATTTGGGTCAGTTATTGAAAGAAATTAATATTATACTATTACATTAATAACACATTATTAATTTTTGATCCACCCTTTTCTTCCCATTTATATTAAGCTCCAACTTCTGAAAAGGTCAGTCAGTATCTGAAGGGCATGGCTGGGTGACAAGATTACTCTTAGACCCCAAAGCACATGCTCCCTACCCAACTGGAAAACCCAATTTCTGTTCAGAGTATAAACAGAATCTATTCTGGGTGAGGCTTTGCCTGGGGAAGGAAGCCCCTGTCATTGAATCCCTCCATTAGAATTTAAGGCAACCCAGCTCATGAAGGAGAAAACTAGCCAGAAAGGTCCGAATGGAAATGGCTTCCCCCACACTGAAGCCTTGAGGCTTCTGTGTCTCATGATCATGCCATGTTCTCAGCAGGAAGAGATGAAGACTTTTAGCCTACCTCCTCATTAAATGTTCACCAGGGTTGAGTTTTACTTGTCAGAGGAGTTCCCTTTCAGAAGGTACACATCTGATTTAAGGCATTTCAAGGTGTCCCTTGGCATCTTTGGTTACAGAGAGAAACCACTGACCATCAATGTAGTTATTATTAGCTAGTCTAATTAATAACTGATTATGAATTACCCACAAACTCTCTGTGGAGTTTTATTCATTGCATTATGAAGGCTAAAATAGAAGAGTTTACATTTTTCCTTTAAGACAACAGGGATACACATGAAGGGAGTGACATGATTAGATGTACATTTAAAGAAAATAACTTTGACAGTGTGTTGGGGAGGCTGTAGTGATGAGAAATCTGAGGCAGGGAGCCCAGTCCAGAGGCAACTTTAGTAATCCAGGTGAGAGGTAATGAGGTCCTAAACTAAGCTGGTGGCTATGTGTGTGGGTAGGGATGAAGTAACATTTAAGAAAGAGGTCATGGAGGTAGAAACAGAAAGACTTGAAAACTGACTGACCATATGTGGAGAAGGGGAGTGTGGAGAGGGGAAGCTACAAACCTAGGAAGCTGGAGGGGAGATGGTACCTTCAGCAGAAATAATGAAGTTTAGAAGAAGAAAGGGCTTTGGGAAAAAGATGAGTTCAGTTTAGGTTATGTAGAGTTTAAGATGTCTCTGGGAAATCAGTTTGAAATGTCTAATAGGCAGTGGGTGATGGTTTGAAATGTCCAAGAGGCAATCCAGCTTGAAATATCCCATAGACAATTGGTGACACAAGACTGAAGCTCAGAGGAGACACTGGGCGACAGATAATAGATACATACATACAAACCTTCATATCTATAGATACAGACATATCTGTGAATCACATTAAACCCATCAAACCCACAAAACATGATGAGGTTACTGAGAGAAGAGAAGAGGGCACAGTTCACAACCCTGGGGCATACCCACAGTTAAGGTGCATGATATGGATCATGAGCCAGCAAAGACAATGGAGAAGGAACATTCAGACAGGTGGGAAAACTAGGCGAGAACAGTGTCATGGAAACCTAGAGAGGAGAGAATATCCAGGAAGCAAGGAGGGTCAACAGTGTCAAAGGAAGCTAGTAAATCAAGAACAAGGACTGAGAAAATACCAGCAAATGTGGCAATTAAGAGATTGTTGGAGCATTTTTTCTTGTGACTATAGAAAGCTTTGATTTCTTTGTCTGAAAACTGCCTGTTCATACCCTTTGACCACTTATCAATTGGGGAATGACTTGTATTTGTATAAATTTTATTGAGTTTTCTATATATTTGAGAAATGAAGCCTTTTTCAGAGATACTTGTTACCAAAAAAAAATTTTTACCCAATTTTCCACTTTCCTTTTAATTTTGGTTGCATTGGTTTTGTTTGTGCAAAAACTTTTTAATTTTATATAATCAAAATTACCTATTCTATATTTTGTAATGCCCTCTATATTTTACTTGGCCCTAAATTCTTTCCCTATCCATAGATCTGACAAATAAACTATTCCAAGTTCTCTGAATTAGCTTATGGTACAGCAGTTTCATTTGCATGATAAGAGCAGACACCAAACTCCTAAGAGTCAAGTAAGGAGAGAAAGCAAAGGAAGCAGAGAAAAGGAATACAGACTGCTTTTTCAAGGAGTAGTAGATAAAATGCACATTCCTCTGTTTGGCATTTAAAGACCTTCACTATCTGCCTCTAGCCTACCTTTCCAAGTGTACGGTACATCAATGGTGTACAAAAAGGAGGTCACTACACCGTACATAAGGACCCCTGGGGGCTGCATACTGACTTGCTTTTAAAATGTAATATCTACATTTTACTGTCTATATTCACTTTGTTAAATATTTCCCAATCACATTTTAATCTGGTTCATACCCACTCAGGAGTGTTGTGGGCAGCATGTTTGACACCTCTGCTACCATTACTAACCTTCACATAGTTCTATGGTCCAACCAAGCTGGCCAATTTGCTGATCCACATAAATGACATCCCATCTCCCTTCTCATAGGTTCCCCCCTCCCCATCCCCACCTGCCCTTCTCACTTGCCCCTTACAGAATCACAAGCTGCCTTAGAGTAGCAGCTCAACACTGCCCCATATGCTAGTGCCCTTCCCCCAAAAAATTACCTTACGTTTATTTTGTATGTTTTGTATTGAGTTATTTGTGTACACGTCCCTCTCCTCATCCCAGTCCCCAACCCGCTCCAATAAGCTCTTGAGGGCTGGGACAGTTGTACCTTTGTTCTTGTATGCCCATTGCCAAGCACAGTGCCTGATACACAATTGGAACATATATGCATTAATGAATTTTATAAATTAGAAAACTGAAGCCCAGAGACATTAACTTGTTCAAGGTCACAAAATGAGCGGCAAAGTCCTAATTCAAGGTCCTCCTGGAATAAATTCACTGCCCCCTAGAGCACAACAGAGAGCAAAGTGAATGATTAAGCTGCTATTATGCTTCCCCCAAGGGGATGGAATTCATCTTCGAGTTTTCTTTCCCTTCCTCCTTCGGTACTTTACTGGACAAGACCAACACCCACTGAAATCAGAAACACTGTAAGTCAACGACTATTTATCCCATTAGGGCACAGAGTTCCTTTTGAAGTACTAGGCACCCTAGTCACACTCAGGAATGTTTCTGGAAAAGACTCAGGCTTTGCTATTAATATACCTCCCAAGAGAACTCTGCCTCTAACTGGGCTCTGGCCTCAGCTAGGGCCTGTTAGTACATGCAAAATCAGTTAGCTGAATTGTATCTGGCAGCAATCTTTAGCAACAGGTTTCCTAGCTCCTTTCCCCTGGGGAGTAATGAATAATAAAACACTTTTTATTTATCTAATCTCTATCAACTAGGGCTGAAATAGAGCAGAAAGTCCTGGTGGTATCATGGAAAGAGCAGTCAACGAGCATTTATTAATTAAGGCTTTACTGTGCATCAGGCACTGTGCTAAGCGCTGGGGATACAAAAAGAAGCAAAAGACATCACTGCCTTGAAGGAGCTTACAATCTAATAGGGGAGGCAACATGCAAACAAATATGTATAAAGCAAGCTATGTGCAAGATAAATAGAAAATAACCAGCAGAGGGAAGGTACTAGAATCCAAGGGGTTCCTCTAAAAGAAGGCTTCCTGTAGATGGGATTTTAGCAGGGACTTGAAGTCAAGAGGTCAGTACTCAGAGCTCAGGAGGGGAAGCATTCCAGGCAGGGGGAACAGCCAGAGAAGATGCTTGGAGAGGAAGGATGGGAGACCTGCAGCAGGAGACCAACCAGAAGGCTCCTGCCTTAATCCAGATGAGAGGTGATAAGCTGAATCAGGATGACTGCTACATGAATGGAGGCAGGAGATGTATACCAGGGCCAACAGATTGGACATGTGAGGTGAGTGAGGACTAGAGAATGCCACTGAGTACTTAAATTTCCCTGGATAACTGGGAAGACTAGTGGAATCCCTGACAGTAAAAGGGAAGATTGAGGGGAGCAGAAGACAATGAGTCCTGGAACATGGGTTTCAATACCGTCCATAAGGCTTATTACATATTACTTCATCTATAGTAATGCTCTCCAGGTGAAATGGATACAGTGGTGAACCTGGAGGCAAGAAAGCCTGAGTATAAATCTGGCCTGACACTTACTAGCCGTGTGACCCTGGGAAAGTCAATCTCTGTTTGCCTCAGTTTCCTCTTCTGGAAAATGAGGATAATACAGTTATCCCTTCCACATCATGAGGGTTAGGACCACCATGCCCCCACAACCTGGAAAATCTGCATCAAATTTTTTGGCCCTCTCTTCATACCAGAGAAGAATTCTGAATTTTTTCATTTTCTTTTTCTTTTATATGTTTACAGAAGCTTATTGTAAAATTTGGGTTAAATATTTGGTCATATTTTAACTTTAAAAAAGAAATTGTGCATATATGTCAATATTATACAATGCTATACATATATTTCATGCATTTCTGAGTTTCTAAACTTTTTCTGTGTCCTCTGCTGGCCCTCAAGTATCATCTGAAGCTTCCATAAAACTCTCAAAAAATTCCCATTGAACTTCTTATATAGACTCACAATATATCAAAACCAAGATGGGGAAAGTCGAAATATGGAAGAGATAACTATATTAGCACCTTCCTCCCAGGGTCGTTGTGAGCACAAAAAAAGAACATATTTACAAAGTACTTTGCAAAGCTTAAAGCGCTGTAGAGATGTTAGCTATTGTCTGTAAAATGAAGGGGTTGGACCAGTTGGGTTTTGCGCGGTTTGTGATCCTACGAACTCCTCACAGCAAAGCAAGCAAATAAGTGGGGGCAGAGATTAAATATCCTTGTTTTTCAAGTAATTGTTTTGGGGTCTTTTGGAGGGGGTGGAATTCTGGACCTGCAATTTCATCAATGAGAAGAACTCCAAGGTAGAAACTCCATCCTCTGATACAAAGGAGCAATTCACCTGTAACTTGGGGCCTTCCAGAACTAACTGTCTTGTGGTCCTAAGGGATCTATCCCAGCTTGAATCCAGGTCTTCCAGACTCTGAGGCTGGCCCTCTATTCCCTACACACCCCTGCTTCTCAGCCCCCAGCATCAGGGAGAATTTGCTTTTACTGTTTACATTCACAAAGCCAAGTCAGAGAATTCTCTCCTCTGAGAGTCAGGGCAGGCATCACCCTCGGTTTCACAGGGTAAAGAGTTGTCCAGTTGGCAGAGTGGGAAGGGACAGAGAGCTCAGGATTTGGATCCTAATCTCTTGGCTCTTCCTGTATAACTTTGGGCAATCACTTTCTCTTATGAAATAAAGGCGTGGGAGCTATCGAGTTACTATCTAAGATACTTCCAGCTCTGATGCACAATGATTCCACAGGCATGAATAACAAGAATCCTATTGGATGAGAGGGTGTGGAGGGATTATAATCTGTGATGGTGGAGAAAATCATCCAAATTGAAGATCACAGATCCACTGAAGTCTTCAGTGAATGCAAGTCACTTAACTGCCATCTGCCTCAGTTTCCTCATCTGTAAAATAGGGATGATAATAGCAACCGTCTCCCTCCCAAGGATGTTGTAAGGAGCAAATGAGATAATAATTGTAAAGTACTTAACACAGTTTACATAGTAAACACTATATAAACATTAGCTACTATAATTATTATTATTAAAATAACAGCACCTACCTCCCAGGGTTATGGTGAGGATCTGGTGAGGTTAATATTTGTAAAGCACTTTGCAAACCTACATCAAGGCTAGCTATTATCATGTCATTTTTTTCCCATGCAAGGTCACAGACCCCTTGAAATCTAAACACAAATACTCTAGGGATCCATGGACCCAAGGTTAAGAACTGATTCAGACAAAGTATTACCAGAAATCTGAGGAAGGAGAAATTGCATTCATTTGTGGGGTGAGAGGGAAGGGTACAAGAAGGCTTCATGGAAGCAGTGGCATTGGAGTGGGGCCTTGAAGAAAAGAAGGCACTCCAACAGATGGAGTTGGAAGAGAGCTTATTCCAGGCTTTGGGGAGAAGGTACAAGCAAAAACCTGGGGACAGAAGAGGGTAAGATAAGAATGGGGGCAAGGAGCAGAAGAGTTTGACTAGAAGCAGGAAGTCTGAAAATTCCTATGAGATGATGATGATTATAAGAAGAATAATAAAATTATTCAGAACACAAAGACCTAGAAGACACAGAAGAGCTGTAGGAAGGGCTGAGTCATTTTCTTCCCTGTTGCCTTGTCTGCTATTGGACTGAGAGCTATTTCAGTGAGTCTATAGAGGATGAACTCATATTTTAATGCCTGTACTCAATTACAAAAAGTAATTATTTTATCCATCTATGGAACAGTCCATAGAACATTAAACATTTTTAAATAGCAGGATAGTGACTTGTCCCACGACCATTTCTACCTTTGAACATAAGAATGAGAAAAACAACTAAATAATAATGATAAAAATAATAGATAATTCAGGCCCAACTAAAACCCCATCTTCTATAGGAAGCCTTTCCCAAACCCTCTTGATTCTAGTACCTTCTGTTTGTTAATTATTTCTTATTAACACTGTATAATTAGTTTGCTTGTCCATATTTGTTTTCTTGTTGTCTCCTCCATTACAGTGTAAGCTCCTTGAGGGCAGGGACTGTCTTTTGCCTCTTTTTGTATCCCCAGGGCTTGGCACAGTGCCTGTCAGGTAACAGGTACTTAATAAATGCTTACTGACTGATTAATAATAATACTAACAACAACAATTCACTTTTATGGGGCTTGAACGGTTGATTTGGAGAAGGCCTATGAAAGACCTTGAATGTCCAGTAGGCAATGATCAGGCTTAGATCCCATCTAGACCCTGGAAGATCACGATGTTTTCACAATTGCCTCATCCCGTTAGACTCTCTCAGCTTTATCCAATACTTCTTATACAGCCTTGCAAAATACTTCTGGATAAGTACCTCAACGTCAGTGGTTTTAGAAAAGTACTCCAGGCATGTTGTTTTCCCACTCGCGATATTACCTTCGATACAGATCTGATGAAAGATAAATTGTTATTAGATATTAGACCAAGAGATATCAGGGATCAGGATAACAGTCATAGGGGTGGACGGGAAACAAGGAGCCACAGCGTCAACTAGATCTATAAATGACAACTATAACTTCAGTAGCTCAACGATTCCTGATTTCCTCAGTGTTGCTACTCCCTCTTTGGAGGCAGAGAGAAACCCTTTCACACTTTAGTAGGTCCCTATGAGCTGATGAGAAAACTGATCCACTCATGGCCAGCCCTTTAGTGATGAGGCTTCCTCAACGTGGCCAGGCTGGTCCTGAGATGAGAGACATACATATTCTGTCCATGAGCCTTTCTTATGTGGTGGGATGGACCCGAACTGGTGCTGTGCTGGCATAGCCTTGACCCCAGGGTCAGAATAGGAGGTGAGATTAGAAGAAGGCTTTATTATGACTCAATAACCACCATGCAGTGAATATACAGTCATTGAGATGATTAATAAGGAAACAATGCATTTGTTTTTATGGATAAAAATAAGCAAACTGATGTTTGTATTTACGTTGATTTATTCTAATTTCTCAGAATGCCCCTGTGAAAGAGCTAGGAGAGAAATAGGAGGAGGAGGACAATGAAGATGTTATCATTAATACCTCCCAGGGCTTTCAAAGCCCTTCATTACCTGGTCACTTCCACTCTTCTTCTGCTTCACTCTGCTCCATGAACCCTAGTGACAGTAACAGTGACACTGGCCTCCTTGCTGTTTCTGGCAAGATACTCCATCTCCTCACTGCATTTTCACTGCCTGTCCCCCCAGGCATGGAATGCTTTCCCTCCTCACCTCTATCTGCCTCCTGGCTTCCTCCAAGTCTCAGCTAAAATCTCACCTTGTACAAGAAAGCTTCCCCCAAACTCCCCAATGATAATTCCTTTAACCCTGATTGCCTCCAAATTGAAAAAAAAAAAAAGAGCAGCTAGGTGGCACAGTGGATACAGCACCAGACCTGGAGTCTGGAGGATCTGAGTTCAAATCCAGCCTCAAATACTTAGTTTAGACCCTGGTCAATCACTTAATCCCAATTGTCTCCAAATGATTAAAAAAAAAAAACAGTTCCTTACCCTCTGTGATTATCCCCATTTTATCCTATGTTTCTCTTGTTTGTACCTAATTATTTGCATCTTGTCTCTTCCAGTAGATTGTGGACTCAACACCTCAGGACGTTTTTGCCTTGTCTTGTATCCCCAGTGCTCAGCACATAATAGAGGCTTAATAAATGCTTGTTGACTTGACTGACAAGTCTTAAGGTTTACAAGGCATTTTCTTCAAAACAATCCTGGACAGGTAGACAGTGTGAAAGTATTATGACCTCCATTTTGTAAACGAGGAAACTGAGGCTCAAAAGGGAATGAGTGTCCTACAGGATCACGGCTTTAGAGCTAAAAGAGATCTGGTCCAATGCCCTCATTTTTCTAGATGAGGCTTAGATAAGGAAAGTGACTTGCCCAAAGCCACAGTCTGTCAGCAATAGGACCAGGACTAGTATCAAGGCCTACTGTTTCCCAAACCTATGTTCTTTCTGCTTTCTGAGAGAGATAAAGGTGAAAAATAACTCTGCTAAAGTAGCTTTGATACAAAGTGAAGACATGAGGGTATTAGTAGTAGTAATAATAATGATAGCATTTAAGTAGCACTATAAAGTTTGCAAAGTGCTTTACAAATAACCTCGTAATTCTCACAACTCTGTAAGGTAGAGGCTATTATTATGCCCACTGATTTGACCACAGCCACATGGCTAGTAAGCTTCACTCTCTTTTTTTTTTTAAGGCAAATAGGGTTAAGTGACTTACCCAGGGTCATGCAGCTAGGAAGTTTCTGAGGCCAGATATGAACTCAGGTCCTCAGGACTCAGGGGCCAGCACTCAAACCAATACACCACCCAGCTGCCTCATTAATAAGCTTCAGAGAGAAGATCTGACCTCTGGGCTTCCTAAATCCAAAACTAGCACTGTTCTAACTAACTGCTTCTAATATAAGATGTCAATTCCACAAATCCTTAAAAAGTATATGTCTCGCTTCATCAATTATTTTATAATCTTTTTCATCAACCTGGCAATCTGGCTCCTACTCACATTTGTAAGCTCATTATCCCAGAAAAATTGGCACTTAACAGTCCACCTCCCCTAGGATGGTCTCCACCTGAGAATGCACTCTCTGTTCACCTCCACCTCTGAGAATCCCCCTGAGCTTTCTAAGGGAAGCCTGACTCAATTCCTCCCTACCTCCTGCCCTCATTAAAGCTTTCCCCCTCCTCAAGTTCTCTAGGATTTATTTATCAGTGTTTATGTTGTATTTCCTTCAGTCCTGGATAGCAAAAACTTTCCTGTATCCCTTCCACACAGTGGATGATTAATAAATGTGTGTTATGCTGAATTACATTCTTAAAATCTCAAGACAAAGTATAAACATATACCATAACAATAGAGGGTGTGCATATAAATAAGTACTTACCACTGACTTCTGGTCCCTTTCATTTTTCTCATGTTTATCTAAAAAACAAAAGAAGTGATCATGGTTGAAATAGTTATTTCAAGGAGGTTAAATATCACTGTATTGGGGTTTATCCTATTACATCTTGAAATCTACACAAAATGAGGCAGCGAGGTGGTGCAGTGGATAAAGCACTGGTCCTGGAGTCAGGAAGACCTGGGTTTAAATTAAATTATTTTTTATTTAAAATAATAAAATCCCTTTATTACGGGGACTTGTTCTGTGAAGTTTGGATTTGGTCAAAGAGCTGCCACATGTGGCCTCAAGGCTGCAGGTTCCCCAACCCTGCCCTAGTGTGCTGTGGTACATGTGGTCACAGAGTTGGACATGAGTCAACAACAACAAATTATTAAAGTAATAATAATAAATTTCACCTCCCTAATCAAAATTTTGGAAACACTATGTAAAACTATACATGGCCTTCCATGTTCCAGCATGGCCTTGTTGCTGTCATGCAGTTGTGTCTGACTTGGGTTTTCTTGGCAGAGATACTGAAGTGGTTTGCCATTTTCTTCTCCAGCTCATTTTACAGATGAGGAAACTAAACAGGGTCAAGTGACTTGCCCAGGGTCACACAGCTCATAAGTGTCTGAGGCCCGCACTTTAACCACTGTGACACCTAGCAGTTTATCACTGAAATCACAGGCACTACTTAGTGGCTCAGCAGGAGAGCACCCAAGGAGATTACTTCTGAGGAAGTACTCTCAGAGGTTCCCAAAGTAGGTGATATCCAGCCCAGGGGGTTGTAGTAGCCTCAAATGCAATTGGGGGATGTTGAATAAAAATAAGGGGGCAAGTGGAAGCATAAGGAAAGAACAGAAGAAAAATTTGAAAAATCGCTCGTACATGTTTCATCTGTTGTGTAACAGAGTCAAGTTATTTTCTAAATAAGCACACAAAATGAAAGCTACAACCAATCAGTGGTCAAGTCTGACAACAGTTCTTAACAAGCAAGTGTTGGCAGGCAAGTATGTCTGGGGGAAGTCCAGCATGCATCGGCAGGAATGTGCGTGTAATGACTTGTTTACAATACAGTACTATATGGTTACATGATACTGCATCATCAAAATTTCAATGCAGGAAAAAACCCCACAAATTAACAATAAATTATTAAATTTAAAATGCATCATTTTAAAAACATTTTTATTATTTTTTCTAAATGACAAATTTTAAAAAAACCATTAAACAGTTAAAGAAAGTAGATTTCCAGGGGTGTACTGAGTACTTTTTTTTTTTAAAGAGGGTGGAAGGCCAAACAAGTTTGCTGTAGCCCATGAAAGGTATGACTTGGCAACATTTTACTTTTGAAGCCAAAATTTAAACTTACACCAATAACTAATGAAAAAGATGCTTCGAAAGGAAGGGGAGCATGAAAATAACCTGACAAAATTGCCAAATGATGGTTAATTACAACGATTGATCTTGCTCCGGGAATAACAGGCCATGAAACACTTAACGCTTTCGTGGAAATAGCATTGGCCTTGGAGTCCCAGAACTTGGCCTCTAATCTTTGCTCTACTATAGACTAGCTGTGTGACCTTGAGCAAATCACTTAATCTCCCTGGGCCTCACTTTCTTCATCTGTAAAATAAAGCTGTTGGACTCTATGAGACCCAAATTCCTTCCTTTCTCCCCACTCAGTGGCTGGGGTCCATGGGTGTGGAATGTCACTATCAAAGTTCTTTTGCTGGTTGATTTTGCTCAACTGCTTTTCTTAGGAACAAGGGAGGGTTCCATGGAGGCTTGTATAGTGGGAAATAACTAGGCTGCAAAAAAACGATAAGCCATCAAAAAAGCTTTAAAAATACAAATAAACTAATGAGAGAGTTTTACCATTCAATAAACATTAAGTACTTACTGTGTGCAAGGGCCTATTCTAAGCACTCAAAATACAGAACTATATATTCAGGCTATACTATTCTTCCCTTCAAATTAGATAGTATTTGTAAAGTGCTTACTTAGCACAGTGCGTGGCACACAGGAGGCACTTAGCACTTATTTCCTTCCCTACCTTCACCCCCTTCAATTCAACAAGTGAATTGTTGAGTGCAGAGAATAGGAAAAAGCAATCATAGCTTAAATTTACATGGTGACTTTCATTTTTACAAAGAGCTTTACATACTTTATATCACTTGATCATCAAAAAAACTCAATAGATAAAATAATTATCATTATTCCCTTTTTACAGATGGGGAAAGTGAGGTTCAGAGAGGAAAAATAACATAGCCAAAGTAATACAAGTAAGATGTAAAAAGAGCTGGGACTCAAGCCCAGGATTCACACCCAAAATACTGTATAGCGTTCTTTCCACCACACAGTATTCGTTTTAAACTAATGTGAAATTGGTTGAAGGTAGAAAAATAATTTCCTAACTAGTGACTACAGCAGCAAGTAATGGTGACACATTCAAAAGGGGGCTGGAACAAATATCAAACAATTGGGGTTCTAGCTCCATCTGTACCACCATGGGGCTTCAGGCAAAACTCAATCACATCTTGTCATCTGTAAAGTGGGTTTTACAGTTAGAAAAAAAAAACAGAAGGCGGCAACCAGCACACTCAATAAATTCTTTCTGAAGTATTTAGGGAAGAGTATGGGCAAGAATTGAACCGGCTAAAAATGCACAGAGAGATTGCCATATGCACTCAAAAGGTGCACCCACACCAATGAATCAACTGTAGTCTAAGTAACTTGGCCTAGATATAACAGTAAATGGGTTCTACAATATTTAAATCCGGCCTCAGACACTTACTAGCTGCATGACTCTGGGAAAATAACTTAACCTCTGTTTGCTTCAGTTTCCTCAACTATAAAGTGGGGATTATAACAGCATGTACCTCCCAGGATTGTCGTAAGGTTCAAATGAGATAATATTTGCAAACTCAGCACAGTGCCTGATACATAGCAGACATTATATAAAAGCATATTTCCTTCCTCCTACTTATTATGTCTGTAACCATGGACAAACCATAAAACCTCTCTAAGCCTGTTTCACAATCAACAAAAAGGAGGAAGATTGGATTGCACAGTCCCTAAGATTCCTTCCATCACTAACCTTCCACACTAATAATAATGGCTAACATTTTCATAGTTCACTTTCTACATCACCTCTTTAGATCCTCACAAAAGTCCTGTGAGGGAGGTTTTACAAATGAGAAAACTAAAACTGAGACAGCTTAAGTGACTTGCCCAGAACTATACAGCAGGTGTCTGAGGGAGGATGTGTCCTTCATGCCCTGGACACTTTCACCTATTCTAATGGCCTTACCAGCTCCAACATTCTATGTTCTAATGCTATTAGAATAGGTCAAGTCCCATCTACCTGGGGCCCTCTTACGTTCTAAGGGCCCTTTCAGCTCTAACAATGCACGTTCTAAGGTTTCTTACAGCGCTAACATTCTATATTCTAAAGTCTCTTGTATCTGCGACACCTGTTCTAACGGCTCTTCCAGTTCTAACAAATGCGGTTTCCAGGTTCCTTCCGGCTCTAAAATTCTATGTTCTAACTATCTGTGTTCTAAGGGCCCTCTCCAGCTCCAAATCTAAAAAGCAGAGAAAGCCTGGGTTTCGCCTTATGACAGCAGGGGAAAAAAGCGAAACAAACAGGGGGATTACCCATGGGCCAAGCATAGGGCGGAGCGCGCTGCAGCTGCCCCTCGGAGCCCGATGCCATGGTCAGCCCCGGGGGCCGGAGGTGCTGAAGCCGGAGCAGTGGGGCTAGGGGGCGGAGCCTCCCGTGGCCCGGTGCAGGTGCTAGCTGCGGCCCGAGGGGATGCAGGGGCTTCAGCAGCAGCCGGACCCACGCGCGCACTGGCACCATGGAGCCCCAGTGGCCTGCGTATAAGCCACCAGCCTTCAATGCTTCCGCAAGAGTCTCCTGACGCTGGCTTGGCTTCCTGCGAAAGGGCGGTGGCGGATGCTGCAAAGGGCCGAGGCCTCGACTGTCAGTGGACGGCGGCAGACGTGGGGGCCGTTCGAGGGGCGGGCTCTTAAGGCCGCACCTCCCTATTTCACCAGCTGGCGGAAAAGCAAGCTCAGGCTTGTCTGCCACCGGGACTTCCGTGGCCTTTTCCACCTAAAAGCCGCGCGAGGTGTTCAGCCCTAAAGACGCTCGTTAAGTAATTCAGGGGAAAAAGCAAAAGGCAGAGAATAAAAAGAACACATTTCAGATTCTAGCTTTGCTGCTAGCTAGCCACCCGCCTCAATCCCCACCCCACTCCACCCTACCCCACTCTCCACCGCAAGTCTTTGGCTGCATCTTTCAGGGTTGAACCAGATCCGAGGTTTTTTAGCATTATGGACCTCTTTGGCAGTCTGGTGAAGATTATTGACTCCTCTTTAGGCGATTAATAAATAATAAAAATAAATAAATGACTATAAAGAACAATGTTTTTAAATGCATAAAATATATAGGATTGCAAAGAAGAATCGGCAGCAAGCATTTATTAAGCGCTTACTGTATGAGCCCGGCACTGTGCCGAGCGCTGGGGATACAAAGAACGTCAAAAACAATCCTGCCTAACATTCTAATGGGGGGGGAGGGGCCTATAATGAAATGCAGTTATCAAAATAATTTTTTTTAAAAAACACCCAAGTTTGAGCTCTTGATGATCTCTGATTCTGTGATCCTAAGTGAATGGACCCAAGAGCTCTTTCCATGACAGAACTAGGATTGCAGTCCAGGCCTTCTGACTCAGAGTGAACCAATCTGATATTAGTCAAACTAGTCACTCCTGAAACCTTTAAGCATAGGAACCTTCCACAAGGTTTATACAATCAATAAATATGCACTTGCTGTATGCAAAGTTCTGTGCTAGGCACTAGGAATCCAAAAATTTAGATACAACACAGTCCCGATTTTGTAGCAGCTCTTTTTGTAGCAAAGAACTGGAAACAAAAGGGGTAGCCAATCAACTGAGCTGAACAACTTGTGAGATATGACTGTGATGGAATATTGTTGTGCCATAAGAAATGAGGAAATGGTTTCTGAGAACCCTGGAAAGTATGAAGTAATGCAGAGTGAAATGAACAGAACCAGGAGAATGAACTATTCAATAGCAACATTATAAAGAAAAAGAACCTCGAAAGCCTTAAGGACTCTCATCAGAACAATGACTGGACAGAGATCTGATGATGATGATGATGATGATAATGATAACTTCTGAGAGAAGGATGATGGACTCAAGGCGAAAAATGAGACAATCATTTTTGGACGTGTCAAATTCACACACCTATTTTGTTTTATAATGCTTATATATTACAAAGGCTTGTTTTCCTTGGGGGAGAAGGGGAGAGAAAAAAAACAGTCATTGAGTATTTTTTTAGTTGCTTAAGATACTCCTTGTTGGTGGAGTGCTCTGTGCCTGCATTAGGGCAAAGTCGTCTGAAGTTAAGGAGAAAAGAGATGCTTTTGATTCTGGCTTCCAGCTTCAGGACACCCAGTTCCAGATTCTCTTCAGCAAGGTCTTTCAAGAAAGAGAAAGACTCTGGGAAAAAGCTAACATGTAGAGGAACTGACACTTTTCTCATTTTTCTATTCCCAGATTACCTCATTAGAGACTTTGAATCAGTCTCCCACATAGAAATGGACAGAAGAGCCTCTAGATCTATTCATGCCTTCAAGCTACATCTAAACAAACCCATGCAGGTACACATAACCTACATGGAAACCACACACACACACACACACACACACACACACACACTACACTACCTTTAAAAAGAAAAGCAGGTTTTATATATAATAGAGATCTGCAGTTTCATGTTATGAGAGTTCACATGGTAGGTTATTACTGCCAAAGTAAATCTACCACAATGCAGAAAGGTAAAAATCTATTTTTATTATGCTTAAGCATAGGTTCAAGCTTCAGAAAAAAAAATAACCCTGAACAAAAATCAGAATTCTAAAAAGGCTTTTCAGACAAAATTACATCAGAGTGACAGAGAAATTATTCTTTTACATATTGCAGTCTCATACATTCTCTTACGCCATGAAAGTTTTAAAAGATAGATTCATAATGCCATGGTTCCTTTTGTTGAGGGCTGATCTTAAGAATCTGATATGGGTTTAAGATCCAGGACAGAGTTTGACCTTTGCCCAGGCTTTTACCCAAAGGGCTCAATAATTAAGAAGCACAGCTCTCCAAATCTCTCCCTTTTAGGAGGTTCCTGAGACATTCCTTCTCACTCTTTGAACCTTAGATTTACATATTCACTCCTCTATACAGGCTCCAGGAAAAAGACTTGGAATTTACAACTCTATCTAGGAACTCTGATAAGGAGGAAATGTATGTTATCACATCCTTAGCAAATGTTTTTGGGGAGCGTCTTATGGGGAGGACTCTTTGAAGTTGGGATGGATTTTCTCTGCATATCCTGTACCCTCAGAAAAATAAACTGAGTCAGTTCTGCTGCTCCACCTGGCCCACTTTATTTCACGCCTTTCTGTTCGTTGCACTATCTGGTTGCGGGCAACACCTTTAATATAAAAGTTGAACAAACTTAGTTAAGCAGAGTGTGATCTCATACATCCCTAAAGGAAATAAACATAGTTAAAAAGACTCTACAGTTAAACTAAATCAGGTTAAAATTAAACTATATTTAGAGGGATCACAATGGGCTGATTAAAGGGAAAGGGATTTTCATGTCAACAAAATAACCAAGAAATTGGAGACAGTTGATATTCTTCTTCATATGAGGTATCATTTTGGGAAGGTCAAAATTCCCTTTAGTTTCTATATGAGGAATGTCAGTCTTCCCGTCACACTATTATTCCATGAGTCATTTTTTGTTTAGGTGAGGTTAAAAGAAGACAGGTTTTCAGTTAGCCAAAAGTTGCAGGAGGAGTGACCTTGACCCTGGAATAATAAAAACTAATAAAATGAAATTTAAAAATCAAAAATTCCCATCACACATATACCATCTTTTTGGCTTTTTGGAGCAGAATTAGGTCTGGTGAGTTTTCTAGATCTTTGTCAAGAAGGTGCAGTGGGTGAGATAGACTCTAATGCTTCTCTTCCACTATCTTGACTCCAACCCCTGCCCCCAAATCCTCTTCTTCTGTTCTACTGTGTATGTGAGAGTACTCATTTTATTTGGTATTGGTTAAGTTTGGAATGAAAATAAATTTAAAAAGAGAAAAAGGAAATGACCTGGCAGATGCTAAGAACTCTGATCAATGCAATAACCACCAACACTCCAGAGCTCTGATGCTGAAGTATGTTACCTCCTGACAGAGGGGTGATGGACCAAAGGTGCAGAATGAGGCATACATTTTTGGACATGGCAAATGTGAGTCTATTTGGCTTGACTATTATGATTTGTTACAAGGATTGTGGGTTGTTGGGGGGTTTTTCTCCATTTTGAGAGAGCAGGGGATGGGGACTAGACAAGCTAGCCAAAACATGGGACATTAGTTGTGCCCCAGTGTGTTGCCAAGGAAGGGGGTTGGAGGGACATCATTGAACCATTTAAAACGTGCAGAAGAATGTTCAGAAGGAAACACTAACGAGCAGAATAACTTTGAAATTTGATAAATTTATGCACTTTTTAAAATGTTATTGATCTTTTGAGTTTTTACGTCCTTATAGTTTTCCCTAGTATCCCTCCTCCTCCTCCCCTTCCCAGAGAGACATCCCATATAACAAATAGTATTTTTAAGACAAAAAAAAAAGGAAAAGAAGGAAAAAATCAGCATAACCAATCAACACATTGAAAAAGTTGGAAGGCATGTGCAATGTGCAACATCAGTAAACCTCCCCCATCCTTGAAGAGGTGGACTAGGAGTGTTCTTTCATATCATGTCTCTTCTTTCAAGTTATGTTTCTTCTTCATAATTTCACGACATTTAATCCCCCCACCGCCGTGGTTGTTCTTTCTGTCTACATTGTTGTAGTCATTGTATGTATCATTTTCTTGACTCTGCTTACTTTACTCTGCATCAGTTCATACAGATCTTTCAGTATCTCTCTGTATTCACAGCTTTAACCTTTCTTCTAGTATAGTAATATTCCATTATGTTCGTGTCACAATTTGACCACTCCCCAATTCATGGATATCTTTGTTTCCAATTCAGAGTGTCCACTGTGCCACCTATCTGCCCACTCTATGCACATACCCGATCCACTCTGCACTAAGAGTCAAGTACAGTGCTCTAGGTACTGGGGATACAAACACCAAAATGTAACCACCCTTGCTTTTAGGTGTTTACACTCTGTTTTGGGAGAAGGAGAAGAAACAACATTCAGGCATAGAAAAAGATACAAAATGCATAGAAATTAATGACAATGTTGTCTCCTCCACATAAACTCACTTAGTGTGTCGTGATCATATAGTTTTTAATAATATGGAATAAAATGTAACGTAAATACAGAAAGCCCTATCAGGTGTGTATCCATCCTCTTCCAGGTTATTTGGTGGGTAAATCCCCCGTCCCCCTCCCCCTGACCAAGCACATATCTAAGGCTCATGAAGAAAAAGAATGTGGAGAGGGGAATTCACTTCCCCAGCTTTGTCAGCAAAGTTAGGAATACACGTTTCCTCTGCGCCTTACAAGTTGCCAGACTTCAGTCACTACCAGACAGTGCTGATGTGGTTCCAATCCTCCCAGCCTGCACTGGCCTGAATGCTCTAGCATCCTACATGCACTTGCTGCTGAGGCCACAAAAGCCTGAGGTCAATCTTCACTTCCTTTGCTGCCTTCTCAGAGGAAGAGTTTAAAAGGGGGAAAAGACTAGAGACCCCAAAGCACAGCCATCACCCTTTTTATCCTATTGTGCTGGATTCTGCTTCTATTGTTAAAAAAAAAGGAAAGAACTTGAGAATAATTGGGGGCAACAGGCAATTCTCTTCCTGAACTAAGATCATCAAGAATTGTTCAATCAGTTTCTATTCATCTTTTCCTTGGGTCTAGAGAATCTCCACAAA